AGAGTGAGCAAAGATGCTCACTGCTTTGTACATTGCATTCTGGGAGTTTTCTAGAAAGTCCAATTTCTAGAGTATAAGAGTGATTTTGACAACAGATGTCCTCGGGAGATCTGGAGCATTGGCTACACACAATGCAGCCAATCCTTGTACAGTCTACTGTGTTACATGAAAACTGAAACTGACTTCCAAACCGCTGCTTGTGGGTGAGCCGACTGTAAAAAGCAGCAAGAACAACTAAAAAAACCACAGCCAGTCGTTTCAGGAATGTGGGACAAACAGACAGGGAGTAGCTTGAAGTCTACAGGCCCAGCAGAGGCTCAATAAACGTTCATTACACACCTATACAACTATAACGCGTCGGATGACATGAGCAACATACTGATAATTTTGCTGTCGAACCTCGGCAGCAGCAGCGAGGCTAAACATGTAAGGAGGGATCCCTGATGGATAAGGAAGAAGAAAGAAAGACTGCACAGAAAGTTTATTGGCAATCTGCCCATTATGTTATGAAATAAACCGGGTAGAATTGTAATCTTGACCTTATTGAATTCAAAAAGGAACATTTGAAAACTGAGACCATGAACCTCAAAGTTAAACATCACGGCAATCTAAACCCCCGTAGCGGCTCATTGAACAGCTTCTTCCTGTTCTGCGTGTCAAAAGCCGCACAACGACGGCACACGTCTCCGTCCGCAGCACTTACCCGTTCAACCAGTTTGTCCGTCTCTGGCTCAGAAGGGAAGTGCTTTTTAACCCGTTCTGCAACTTTGTCTTTCAGATCCACGCTGGGACCCGCCTCGCTGTCTCCCTCGCCGGACGACTGGACAACCGTGGCTGACGACAGGTTGTCCAAGACGTCGCTCAAGAAGTCAGCCAGGCCTCCCGAGCCGGCCAGCACCAGCCAGGGCATGGAGTTTTTAAGAGAGAGATCCACTCTCTGATAGATATTAGGAAAAGAGAGAGAGATGCATTTGCTTTACAGTACATTTTACTGTTAAAACTGACCCAATAACTTTTTTTGTGGCAATCAACCAACATAAAGCATCTGTACCTCCAGCATGCTTGCTTCTCCTGATATCAGCATACAAAGGACAGGGATGTCAATGCTGCCGCTGCCTACAAACACACAAACATTCTTACAGTTCATTCCTACAGAGCATTGGTGAATTCTTTTGTTTGCACCGACTTTAATGAAGATATTCTTATTATGTTTGCAGACTTATTACAAACCGTCTGCATATTGTTCTTGTAACGCAACGGCTTAGAGATTGCAAGACGACAGAAACAGCACCCCGGTACATTTTGGACAAATCTCTGCTTGATGTTACACGTTGAATAGCTGGGTCTCAAATACTTGCAGGGGCACGCAATAGCTTTCATCCAGTGGATACCAGAGGATTGTCCTGTCGTCACATGCATTGATGCAGGATTACCACAAGAGGGCCGAATAGCTAGAAATCACAGTTCATGGATGTAAGAGCTTTGTACTGTTTAGATATATCTCAGTTTCCTAAAAAACGACTTACTATAGTCATAAGTGTCATATATTCAGCGAGGCAATAGCTAAAGGTTCCTCTATTCCTACACTACACACACAAAATTATGTTTCCCTATCGCCTCTCTCACCCCAGATGCCTGTGCGCTGGTGGGAGATGTAGTCCTCCAGTTTGGCCCTGAACCCCGTCCCTCCTCTGCGTCCCACACTCCCATCGTCCACCAGCAGGAAGGCCTGGTAGTTGTTGTCCAGGCAGCAGGAGTCCCGGGACATGTTCTGGACGTAGTACTTAGCGGGAAAGCTGCCCTGCAAGGGGAACAATACAGGGATATGATATAGCAGGTTATTCTTTTGGGCTCCCAAGATACTCCTAGTGTGTAGAATGCTGCACGATACAAGTGAACAAGACATTTTTTTTGGTCCACAGTATGTGAGTGTCTGTACAACCTGAGGGTTGACCAGCTGCTGTCGGTTGTGCACCAGGCCCCAGGGAGCGATACCCAGCGCCACCACCTTGTTGAGGGACACCGACGAGGCTGCAGTTGCATGATCCCTCACCGCCTCTCCAACACACCTGCCAACGCCTTCCCGCAAGCCTGCCGTCAGGATCCACGCACCTGGTTACAGGGGAAAGAGAGACGGAGAAATGTCATGAAAGTTTTGCAGTTCAAAGCTGGAAATTTATGCCTGAAAATTGCCATGTTCCACTAAACTCTTGAAATGGGTGTTAATTAGCTTGCATGAGCTTGATTTTATAAACATGTAGATTTGATTTCCCACATCTATATTTAAGCTACAGTGTGTATGAACAGTACGTCTTATGATCTGATCTGCAGCCTCCGAGAGAACAGCTGGTTAAAGTGACCTCAGGTGACAAGAGAACAGTATCGCCGTGTTCCACCTGCACTTGGCATGGCAGTTAAGAGGAAATGGCTATTGTAGTTCCAAATTAGGATCGGACCCCAGGGAGTCATGTAGTTTATTGCTACATTTTGTAACAGCTGTATTTTTCCTTAAAAAAAAAAAAAAAAAAAAAAATGATGAATTGGTTCTGTCTTCCAAGAAAGCACTGACTTGTTATTCCACGTTATTGGTCAGTTACTTGGAATTTTAGAAGACTTTGACTTCATGTGGAAATCAAGTGAACATAACAGTTATTCTCAACCACTGGTGGGTTACAGAGCACCTTCTAGTGGGCCATGGAGGTAGTGCCTACTGGTAAGAATACATTTATTTTTGGGGGTAATTTACAAAGCAATTTATTTTTATATCTAAATGTGCTGACGTTTGCTCGGATAACGTCTCTCAACACCAAATATCTCCGCATATGGATATTACAGTGATATTGCAAACAGTGCATACTTCTAACTGGCATGTGACCTATGACCCCACCTTCATAGCAGTGTTTGAAGTGGTGGTTCAGCTAAGTACATTTTCCATACATAATATGTTTACCTGTGCTTTGTGAGGCTTTCACCAGGCCCTGCCTCAAGACCTCCCGTACCCAAGTCTTCACCTTTGTCCTGCCTTCCCCGCCCACTATAGAAACCACCAGGTTAGGTGAAGGAAGACCCCAGTGGACTGTCATCAGGGTGTAGACCATAGACGGGGGGGTGTCCCATGACAGACGCAGGAACTAAGAACCACAAGAGGGACACAGTGGACATTTGAGTGACTGAAGGTTCAAATGCATTTCATCTAAGAATAACCTGTGACTGTGTTAGCTTTGGTCAGTGCACATATATGTCAGTGCATTGTGTTTGTTTACAGCAGTAGGTTAAAGATTAGGAAAAGCAAAGTACTGACTACTACAGCTCTTGGTGCATTTAAACCATTATATATAAATATAGATAAAGCATGCTATGAGCCATTCAGAGAACAGGACGACCACGCACATAGCTGTGCCTCTTGCTGGCTCCCGCGAACTGCAACTCTCCAAAGGCATCGGTCGGGTACTCGGAGGAGTGCTGGGCGCTGTCCCAGTGGTTGACAATCGCTGTGCTGAAATAGTCCCCGAGAGCCACAGAGCCATGGGCATCTCTTTCACCCCCGCACTGACACAGTGCGCCATTGCTGAGAGAGAGGTGAGAAGATAACGCATGTAAAAACATGATCATCCGTCGCCACAGTAAATAAACGCCGCTATCACAGAGGAATGTGCTCCACAGAGTTCACAGTACCTGAAAGAATCTTCCACAAAGGTGGTGCACACTCTTTTCTTGATGATTTTGGGGATCCAACTCTGCAAGACATTTTAAACGGGTTAATAGACAAATTATATACAGGCTGTTACAATTTAAAGTTTAAAGACACCCCTACCCTTCTGTGCTTGGAAGTCATGAGGCTTTCAGGGTGTAGGAAACTGTTACAGTGAGAAAGGTTGGCTCAGAGGGGAAGATGAGCTGTGCCTAAACACCTGGCTGTGACTTCTGACATGGGGCTGTGGTTTAGTGTGTGAGTGATTCTGTGGTGCAAACCTACAAACTAGGGAGCTACACTGGACTCCTTTTAACAACTTGAAACTGGACTGGACTCTCTTTACAACACTTTAAATGTGTTATTTTCATTTAAGCTAAATAAATTCACCTTGAACCCATTGTCGTGTAAAGATCTATGACATAACGTGAAGACATCTGTCTCTCACGGGGTATTTTGACACGTAAAAAGTCACTCGTGTAACTGCTAACATGACGGCTCCGTTGAGCCAGTGAGAACTCTTTGTTACGGATTTTACTTCAAGCATAAACCTTTCAAAGTTATGGAGCGCTAGCAGGCAGCTAGGTTAGTTTAAATGTAGTTAACGTGAAGACAGTGAAACGCTGGCTAACGCTGGGCAATGCATACAGTGCAATAGTGGGCGGGCTCTCGTCTTTGTTTTTACAGTCACACTTAACGTTGCTTTAAATTAACTTTAAAGCAACGTTAAGTTAGAATATGGCTCACCGAAGCACAGTCAATGACACTTACCCGGTAAATTAGCCGTCACTGTCGTTAGCGTTAATTGTGCAACAGTCGAACGTGCATCTCTCCGCTACTAGTAAAGCTAGCTTAATTTGACAAGTAACTTGTTCAGCGTCAACAGGCGCGAGCAGTTGCACTCGCGGGACTACAAGTGGTAGACAATGCGGGTCTGTTTACTCAGCCGGCTGTAACGCTACAGTGGGCCGAACGTGCGAGTCTAACATTACTGAACCACCAGTTGTTACGTAAGGTCCGAAGCAGACAGACGTGACTCAGAACCTCGAGGAATAACTTTTATTTCACAACTTCCCCTTGTTAAATTCCTGTTGTCTTTGCCAACTGTCTTTGCCAAAAACGCCAACATGACACCACAACAGGAGCAGTGATTAATTTAAAGCCTACCCACCTGGTCCTTCTCCGCTTTACCGATTTTGCCTCCGTCCACTTCTTCTCCTGTGTCTCTCATGTTTTTTTTTTTCATGTTCTCGTCGACTGAGAGATCGTGGAGTGCAAAACTACTTCAGGGTTTGTTTAGGACCATTTTTGCAAAGAGTAGGCTCGTTTTACAGGATTGCGGAGTGATTTCCAATCGTCTCTCAGCAATCCGAAACCAGGTGCCAGTCAGACACACCACACAGGTGAGGGTGTGGTGTTAACGCCGCACATTGCAGTCCTCGAACTTTATAAAATAGGAGGGGCCAGTCCAAACAACCACAGGCATTTCATACCCGTGGTGTGAGCTGCTGATTATAATCATTTTACAAACTGAGTTAATTTCACTAAGGTCCCAATCTTTAGGCGAGTGGCATCAGATGTGATGAAGTTGTAAAGAAAACGCTCATATGTGTCACTGATGACACATATTTCGACACCACTGTAGCAGACGGGACAACTGAAGGCACACGCTTGCGCATTGGGCAATTTGCTGTCAACGTTGCCTAAAAATAACGTCAGGTCTGGATTTACAACATGGCACGTGGGGCATGGTGCGTCAATAAGACCCACACCATCAGGGACATGGAAGCCTGATACTTTTTGCATTTTCAACCAATTATATGGTCCTTCGGGTGAAATTAAAATGAAATAATACTGTACTTTTGTAATCCCTGTAAGGAGTTTTCCTAAGAATAATGTTAGGGACCAGTGTACTTTCTCCTAAAAAGCCCCATATAGCTTTAACCCATGGGAGGTGCCCAAGCACCAGTCTCTAACAGCCCCCTTCATGTTATTACAGGTATGCAGAAACTGTAACTCCACACAGTTGTTTGTATTAAATATTTATTGTACAATGCATTTAAATATTGAGGAATTTCTGTTTAAAAAACTGAATTCATTAAGCATTTCACACAGTATTAACGCAGCCACATTGTATGTGGTCGATGAGCACAAATCCATAATCTGTACCAGTCATTCGGAACATGATATTTGGTGTAAATAGATGGAGAAATGGTGAGAACTCTCCATTTCCTTAGTCCTTATAGGCGCCGTCATTCCTCTTGGCCCTATCTGCCGAATCCGTGAGGGTCATTGACATTTTTCGACTCATCTGTTCCATTTTTCTTCCTGATCTGGTATAAAGTGTTGGCCAGGTTGTGGAGCTGGCATGTCCCGAGCTGGCATCCACGCTGGGGTGCACGCCGCAGACGTAACTTCACTCTAACGCTGTGAATGATGATGAAGTAAAAGATCAAAGTTCTGGCTTTTAAAAACATCACATACATTTACAAAATAATGTCCAGTTTTTAAATAAATCACAAACCTACAATTTGGTTTTCGCTAACAGCCATGATTAGAAGAACTGAAATAAACACTACAATATGTATTCTGCATTAATCCTGCATCAGTAACCTACAACAGGCAGTGCATTAATATGCAATATCATATAAGAAAGCTAGTGTTTTCAACTCTTCCTTGTCCTGGTATACTCCTGTAGTCTATTCGTAACGGCCATTTATGCTACATTGTGAATGCATGTGCTCTTTTGTACCTGTGTCTCAGTGCCTCCAGGTCTAGATGTTTGTCTTCTGAATGAAAAGGGATGATCTTCAGTGATTGAGCATGCTGCTGCTGCTGCTCCTGCGTGTCCTCTATCCTTTTCACCCCTGAAGCCTGGACAGTGTCCCCTGGGACGACAACGTCTGTGTCTGACCTGTGGGTCCATCAGAAAAAGGTATTTATTAATATAGGCATGTCATGAACAAAACAACTCAGATTTTCAAAACTGTAATGTATCAATAAACTATTATGTAGCCCAGGTTTTCCCTATTTGTTTCTATACGTTCCTTTTTTTAAAGACAGAAATGCTTTGATATTTGTTTTTATAGATCAGCCGGCAGTGCTGTCAGTATTTCCCTCTTATCAGTAGCTGCATATTTACTGATGTTTTTCACTGACCTGTGAGTTGGTCTAAGTGGTGTGGCAGCACTCAAAGGCACAATCAACAGCAGCAGAACGGCTATCTCCATACCGCATGGGCCTGTGGCAGAAAAACCATGAGTGATGCTGAGGAAAACATCCTGTCCTGACCACACTTAATCTGTACGACTCAATGTAAGGCATAATAATACAGACAGAAGATTTTGGGGAAAAGAAAATATGAATTAGAGACCTGCTCAAAATAAAACAAGATGAAACTTACTGCCAAGAAAGTCACAAAACCTGCTGGGGCTTTTTGAGGAGACCATTCGAAATCTCTTGCTGATTGTTGGATGCCCAAGTGTGTCTCCCCTCTCGCCTTCTGGTCCTTTATAATGTGATGGTGGAGTAAGGGGGTGTGTCTGAAACACAGTCATTTTAGTGTCAGACCAACTCACACACTTGTGATTAATCAGTTATGGTGGCAGTTTTATTCTTTATTTATAAGAGCTGTGATACTAACATAAACAACCTTCAAACAACAGCGTCCAAGCTCAACACTGCACTTATAAGTGACCTTGTACCGTCTATGATGTTTACATTGATTCTTGATGGTCACTCTTTGCTCCACAGAGTAAAGAGCCCCCCCCCCCCATCCCTCTCCTCCTTCACTCCACTTGCTGCTGAGCAATTGTTCCAGAAATTGTATTTTCATTTCCATCACCTGCAGGAAGCCCACACAGCCCAAAATAACCCCAATTCTCCTCCAGGCTTTTCTTTATCGCCTCTATTTTCCTGTGCCTTTTTCCCTTGAGTCACTTTTGCCGTCCCCGTGTTTATTCCTGCAATGTCCGTCACTCACATCCCCCCACGCAGAGCGCGTCAAAAACAACATCTTGATGGTACACCTTTCCTCAAAGATAAACTAAAATAAATGTTAAAAAAATCATATTTTACAGATTATCTGATACAATTATAACATCCATGAATGGGTTAAAGGTTTGTTGGCCCACTGATAAATGGTCACATAATTCAGAAATAATGATCTTTTAAGGTTTGGCACATGGCCATTCTGTCATCTCTCTAGGAAATTAACCATCATTCTTTAACTTTTAATAATACAGTTAATCTGTGGGGAGCCAGTGTTTTTTTCAAGCTCCCAGCCTCTCTCCCTCTCTGGGAATCACAACTTCCCCTCTCGAGTCTATTGTGTACCTTTCCTGTGACAGCCATCTGGGCAGGTTGTGTGTGTTGTCAGAGTATAGTGCACTGAGTCATCAGTGCGTGAGCACACACACGCATTAGCAGTGAAATGATGAAGCAGTCTTGTGATTTCACAAACGATAAAGAAACGGTTTACACCGAATTTCCTCTTATGTGCATGTCGGCATTGATTGCATGCCAAAAGAAAGCAAAGTCGCTTGGTAAACTACTGCCTGTACATTTACTGCTGCCTAGCTTTGAGGGATTTCTGACAAAAACATGAGCATATTTTTAAATATTTTAAACCCAATTTAATGCATACTATAATAGAACATAAACTCAGTCACTAATGAGGGCGAAAACATTGAGTCAATTACTAGATAAGTCAATTAACAGGAAATTTATTTGCAAATATTTTGACAATTGATTCATTGTTTAATTCATTCTTCAAGCAAGCATGATAAACCTACCCTACTTTAATTTGATGACATCACCATGGGATTAAGTTAATAAGTTAGGAAGTTGTCAAATTGTACAACTGTGGAATCAGGATCTTTTTCTGCTCCCTGCAATGCAATTTAGAATAAATTAGGAATGAAGAATATGTGTAATTACCACATTGGTCAATGAATTAAAGATCCCCTGTAGACATTTTTAAGAAATATAAAAATCGGCTTTGAATAACAATTTGTGTCTGATGTGGGGGTTTTTTGTCAAAAAATATAATCTAAAAATGACATATACTCTTCCTTCCATATTGAAAAATCCAGAATCTATGAAGATGCAAATATTTTTCATTTACCAAGTTGGTAAAACTTAACTTTAACCCCCCTATTTAAAATCAATAAGTTTATGACGTACAATCATACAACACATGGAGATCCATACTGACCAAAACAGATGTGGATTGACCCTTAAAGTTTACAGATGTCAGTTGAGTTTTGGCTACATGCAGTATATTGTGTCTCAGCCGTTATGACGGCGAGTCATGATGTTGGTCTGTGTCAACATGATTAAAGCAGATACTCCCGGTTTGCACACGTCACTGATGATTGTTTTCTTCCACTGACTGAAGTGGTGACTGAGGGTCGTTGGTCTCCTGTAGCTCTGCCTTGTTGATGTCCTGCATCTCAAGCATGTAATTCAGCTTGAAGGAATATGCATCTACTTCCGTGAGAGCGCTTTGTCAGGACTCCTCTGACTTTTCTCCCGCTCTCGCTGACGTATAGCGTGCATCCTGTTGTTGTAAGCCTGCAGCCACCAGCCGGCTACCTCAGACCTCCCGGCCTTGTTTCCTCTACCCACTGGGCACAAGAGTGAGCATCCTGCCAGGAAAGCCTGTCACTCGCATATCATCTTCTCACAGAGTTCATCTCAAGACACTTTGCAACAAGTGTGTGAACTTGTATTTCATCTTTACACTACACCGTGTACGACAGGTGAAAGTAGCTAAGTTGACATTTTTTTTCTTCATTTAGACGAATAGAATGTGAATTTGAGCAATGTTTTTGCTGTCATCCCTGACTGCAGATTGATCTCTGTCACGGCTGATCTCATGGAGATTGGAACCATCTATAGTTTATGAGAAGAGTAACATTTTAAAGTTACTTTCAATGGAAACACTTTCAAATACACACCTATTGTGCCGGAGATAGATAACCTCGGCATACTTCATGGTTTGAATTGACTTAACCATGAAAATAACCCCATCTTGTGGTACGAGACACAAACAGCATTATAGTTCTGCACGCACAATATGCAACTCACTGTGCCGTTTATATTTACATGATGGAATGATTTTGGTTAGTAAAAACCCACACATTTTAAGCTGTATAAGCTCTCAGCTGAGAAATATTGACGTTATCTTACTTGCCTCTGCAGCTGCATTTCTCAGCAATGTTTTCTTTTTCAAGGTAACCTTAGCCGTCAAAAGCTACAGTGTGGTTATGCAACAGCGAGAGAGGCGTGATGAAAAACCAAAATCTTAATGGTTGTTCCAGTAATTCCCATGCTATTAAGAGATTTTATTGAAAGAGTGCGTTAAAGCTGGGCACACACACAGAGAGATGTGCAGCACAAGTCTGGGAAACCTGTAGGTTAGAGGGTCAACACTGGGAGATGTAAGCTTAGAGTCCATTAGTGGATTATAACCATAACCACGCCATGGCCCGCCATCTCTCTTGGATTAAAGAGAGAGAGAGACATGAGAGAGAGTGATCCAGAGATATGTTGAGTGCATGAGGGAGCGGGAAAGCAATTGAATTGAGCAAATTCAAAGGCAGAGCATTGTATGCTGAGTCTACGGGGAGTCGGAGAAACACTGTAAAGCGAGCTGAAGTGAAGTCAGAGTGGTGACAGCGCTTTGGGTTGGCAGACATCAGGTGATTTTGGCTCACCTACGGTATATTATCTTATAATAGACTTATCTTATATCACCTGGCTGATCAAGGGATTTGCACAAGGTAAGTTTAGACGAACACGAGTTAAACTCTAGAAATCTGTTTGCAATCTTTTTTTAATGTATGTATGTAATATATCTCAATATGGACATTTGTCATGTAAAAGATACAGATACAGCTTTCGTTAGCCATGCAGCATTTATCAGTGATCAAACAAATGTGTTTGCTGTAAAGAGTATATGGCAGGATGACTATTTTATTGAAATTGATTTCAGATTTTTAATGTCACATTTATTGGCTTTTATTTCCATATTCCATATAATAGAAGACACACACTGTACATGATGTGTATTTTTTCCCTGTGTGTTCATCCCTATTGTTGTGTAACTTTAATTTCCTTTATGGCCTGAATGATTATTCCTCTCCCTGTGTATTTGCGTGTGTGTGTGCGTGTGCGTGTGTGTGTGTGCGGTTGTGTAAATACGCAGGAAGCATGGACGTGTACCTGGAGGGGATTATCCAGTGCATCAAGCAGGGGGATGAGAACGGTGTTCAGATACAGCTGCAGGAGTTCAACAAAGAGGTAACACCACATAGGAGCTCACACGTCGGGGTGTCAGGATGAAACACTGCGGCTGAGACCGTTATCATGTCATCTTTTCTCTCTTGCAGTATGCCCAGTGCTTCTTCTTTGATTCAGAGGAGAGGGACCGGAGGAAAGTAAGTTAGTTCATGCTGCTGCGCCCGTTTACTGAGACCTATCCCTGTCCCGCCTGTGTTTCTTAAACCTCAACTTTGCTTTAACCCCATCCTCACCCTTACTCCTCCACCTCCTCCCCACCCCCACTCCACAGCCTGTCTGTGATTAGTAATTGTGCTGTATCAGTTATTCCTGATCCTCTTTCCTTGCACGCTCAGGCAGATTGAGCCCAGGGGGAGCGAATGAATAACCAACATACTGCGTGATAATCTAGTCAACACTTTCAGCTCTTTCATTTGCAGCCGCTGAACAGCGGGTTCGACAATATCTTCATTCATCTTCAGTTAAATTTAATAACTTTATCTAAAATTATATTTTAAAATGTATTTAATTCCATTTTCCATTCAAATTCAATTGTTTTATTTAAATCTGATGTAAATTGATTGTTTTTTAATTTGACATGGAATTTTATCTAATTTAATTTTGAGTTCATTTATTTTAATTTTCACTTTTTATCAATATAATTAATAATTGTATAATATATTATAATAATTTATAATTAAATTAAATTAAAATACATTTTTATTTTCATTTTATATAAATGTAATTCATCCAATCCAGTTATTTTTTTGTGGACATAGTGAATGAATTATTTCAGAAACATGATGTCAACAGGGTCAACCATGTCTTAGTTCAATAAAAGGTTCTCTCAGCAGCTTTGTGAAACACTCTTAAGAAGAAACCTTTTCCCGGGAACTTATGGTTTGAACTCCTAATAGTTACATACAACACTTTGTGTAGTATGGCCCCTCACACATATGATGTACCGATATCATTGTCTCTCTCTCCTGCTGCGTTTCTCGCTGAAATCGGATTGTCCATCTCCTAAAGCAAAGAAAACTGGAGGAGGTACAGTGTATTGATTTTGTTTGCACACGAGAGCCCCCCTAAACTAATTCACGAACTGTGTTTAAGCGTATTTGTTCTTTGCCCTGCTGTATCAGTTCAGGCAAAATAAAGTGAGGGAATACGCTGATTCTGACTCTGACTGCGACCAGGATGACCAGGAGGACCGAGGCCTCGTCCTCAGAGAGGTGCCTGACACTGTCACTTTCTGCTCTCAGTCTTTTTTTCATGTTGTTAAACTAAAGGTCTATTTTTCTGTTCCTGTCCTCAGAATTTAGCTCTTGTCCTGGTGAGGTTCATTAGAACAGGAGTTAAATGCCGTCTGTTGAGAGTATCTCTACGCACCCTGAGAATCCTCTCCAGGGACAAAAAGGTCCTGGGCCCCTTGGTGACCGACGGCGCTCTCCTGACGCTGGCCAAACTAGCCGGGCTGACCACAAGCGACGCAAGTGACGAATCCAGTGACCCAGACTCTGATTTCTACGATAACATCATTGCTTCTCTGGTTGAGGCCAAAGTCTTGCGTGGTCGCACTGACGAGGACGAGGGTGACGTTGAAGCCGATAACCAACGCGCCGAGTGCTTTGATGAGGACGCCAAGAGTGACATCAGCATCGCCGACAGCGGAGATGTGGACAGCATCGGCTGCTCTGGCAGCCACAGGACCAGCATCAACGAAATGCACAGGGGCAGCATGCATCACAAGGTGCTGGAGAGAGGCAGGAGGGACCGCAGGGAGAGCAAGGTGGAGGGGGAGGAAGAAGAGGAGGAGGGAGGCGCGTCAGGAGACGAGGCACAGAGAAAAGAGGCCTTGAAGGTGCTGTGTAACGTGGTCTACAACAGCACCTGGGCGCAGGAGAGGTTCAGCCGTCTCAGGTGGGCTTCTTCACGGGACGCAGACATAAACATGCACACACAACATTACAAAACACTGATAACCCCAGCCGTTGGTTGTGGAACTAGCATTTCTGGTTCTCAGTGACACTATTCTTCTCATTTGTCACAACCTATAGTTGGCTTCTGTACAAGTCAGCATATTTCCAGACAGCTAACCTCGTTCCTATTTCCTCCACCAGGCTCATGTGTGGCCTCACAGAGCGTCTATCCTCCAGTGTGAGTGGCTCACCTCTGTCCAGCGTTCACTTCTATGAACTCCGCCTCATGTTCCTCATTATTGCACTACGGCGAGAGCTCAGCACTCAGCTTCAACAGGTAACATGACCTCACTTACTACAAAGTGACTTCCTTAAATATGTAGTACCATACTAGTTATAATATGTGGTAGATCATGTAGCATTACACTCTATCTCCATTTGTTTATTGTGTCATCTTCTCTTTATTCTAACAGATTCATGTTCTACACATCTTAACTGCCTTCCTGTCTCACTCTCACTATGTTTCTCTTCCAGGAGGGAGGTGTGTCCATCTTCACAGCAGCTCTGGAGAGCTGTCTGGGGGTTCAGTGGAAGGACCAGTATGAGTGTGTGCTGGACCCAGCAGCACCACCCATCTCACTGGAAGCCTCTCAGCATGTCATAGAGATCCTCAAAATCCTCTTCAACATCACCTACAGCACCCACAGGCAGGCGCCAAGTGAGGTCAGTAACTATGAGTCCATGCTAAAGCTGTCAGCCATCAGGTGTGATGGCAGGAAATAAAATGTATCTGATACAAATGATCTGTACTGTGTGTGTGTGTGTGTGTGTGTGTGTGTGTGTGTGTGTGTGTGTGATTGTGTGTGTGTGTGTGTGTGTGTGTTCGTGTGTGTTTTTCCTCCTCCCTCAGGATGACGCAGCTCTTTACCGACACCTGGTGGCGATGCTGCGTCTCTGCCTGATGAGGAAGTGTTTGCTTTCGGATGACACTGATGAACTGCAGGGGTGAGCGTGAACCAACATCGATCCATCCATTTAAAGTTGCTGGTGTCACACTTTTATTTATTCATATAATGTCATGCATGTTTTATTATTCTGTCTCTCAGTTGAACTTTTATTTCAGTTCATATGAGCTCTATTGGCATGAATGGCAAAATACAGTTATATACCATATATACGTATATATAAATATATCGGGTACTATAGTATAAAATCATATATTTACAGCATATCAAATAAAGGTATAATGTAATGTGACACAGTGTTATGTATAGTCTTTATAGTCTTTCTGACAAATTAGTTTTAAAAATAATAATTAATACTTTATACATATATCCTGGATTTTCATTCTGAGTTTTATGAAACCCTGAATCTCACTTTTACAGAGAAGCATTGTTTTGATATGATTGAAAGTAGTAATCATTCATTTATATGAAGACTTCTAGCCTTGTTTTAAGCATAAAACAAGCATTTGATTATTCCTGTATCAGGGCTCATTCCTCTAATGTTGGTGGGTCATTTCTTTACATTTTTACAAAATATTGGGCTGATAGTACATTCATGTCTCACTCCATATCCATATGTAAAGAAATGTGCAATGTTTAATTCTAATAACAGCATTATTTGTAGTATATATTTGTATTTCTACTACTTATCATATTTATAACAATCCATCATACTTTACCTTAATCTTGACTCAATCCCACAGTCACACGGTCAACCTGTTGTCAGCGCTGCCTCTCCAGTGTCTCGATGTGCTGCTGCTGGTGCCTCTAGAGCCCGACTCCAAGCAGTGCCAGGGGGTCAACATGGACTGTGTCCACACACTGGTGCTGTTCATGGAGAGACGCCTGGACTCGGTGAGGGAGAAAGTGATACGCAGAGAAGAGGGTTGAATGCTTAGTGGCCAAGCCACAATTAAGAGTTCCTGCCTAAAAAAGTTGAAAGTTTAAAAGAGCGACTCTTCTCTGATACTGAAATAACCTGAGGGACGCGTCTTCCTTGTATGTTTGCTTCTCAGGGTGATAAGATGAAAGAGAAGCTGACACCAATCCTCAATCTGCTGACAGAGAGCTGCAGGGCCCACAGAGAAACACGCCAATACATCAGGAAACATGTAATGCCCCAAAAAAAACATGATACTTCAGAGAAAGCTTTGTGCCTCTCACGAAATTTGGATAATATTTTATAGTATTTTTTTAAAGACAACTGCAATTATTATTAATCCCCGTCATTAGATCCTGCCTCCTCTGAGAGACACGTTCCACAGACCAGAGGAAGGCTCCACAGTGAAGAGTCGTCTGATCCGGCTCATGACTCACCTGGATACAGACCTCAAACACTGCGCTGCTGACCTCATCTTTGTCCTCTGCAAGGAAAATGGTTAGAGCACACATTATCTCATTGAGCTGCATTTGATTTCAAGCTCTCCCTATGATTGTTAGTTGTCTTATTTGTAATTCATGTTGATTGCGGAGAAGCCAAAGACACTTGTGCACATCTTGGACAAGGAAGTTTCTAACTATACATCACTCTCCATATTTGAGAGCTAGAATTTAAAATAAATTTCACTGGTTTTAAGTCATTTTAATCTCATATTGTATGTACGTAGCTGACATAAATTTTTCTTACTTCCTCCAGTGAGCCGCTTTGTCAAGTACACAGGCTACGGTAACGCAGCGGGCCTGCTGGCCACCAGGGGCCTGCTGGGCGGTCAGGGGCCCAGGGCCTTCTGCTCTAACGCCAAGTACTCCAGCGACTCCGACTCGGACACTGAGGAGTACCGGCAGGTCAAAGATCGCATCAACCCGGTGACAGGGCGGGTGGAGGCGGAGCAGCCGGACCCCATGGAGGGCATGACGGAGGAGGAGAAGGAGGAGGAGGCCAAGAGGCTCATCGTGCTCTTCAACAAGCTGTCCAGGTCAGTGAAGCGACAAAGACTCAGAGAGATAAAGAATCTCTCATCAACAGAGTCTTAAGTCTAAATTCAGATTCATTGTCTATATATTTGTTTTGCAGAGATAACATTATCCAGCCGATGGGAGTGGATTCAGAGGGGAAGCTGGTCCCGATGTCAGGACTGAGGGATAATTCCCTCACTGAGGAGGTGAAGTCTGGGTCTGAGAATGACGGAGAAGCAGAGGAAGGAGAGGACAACTGAAACATTTCAAATCCATTCATTCAATTTATTGATTTTATTTGTAAATGTCCCATTTCTTAAGTTGTGTTGTAAATGTATGGACAATATGAAAACAATGTTGAACTCAAGAAAGGATATATATATATTTTTTTTTTTTCTCTTCTCTGTATTCAGACTCATAATATAGAGCAGCAATAAGGTCACACTGGTTGGAGTTGAATTGATAGTGGATCCTAAGAAGGAACTGATTTAATTGTAGTAACATTATAATATTGTCCAATATTTGAATAAAGTCTTGGAAGTGTATAGTTTGTACTTAAACTTTGTGTATTTCAATGTGTAGTCTCAGTCTCTTCTATAGCGTTTTATCAGAATAAATAACTAGGCGACATCGGATACACTGTTAGAAATAAACATCTGCACAGCATATTTACCTTTTTCTGTTGAGTCTCTGTTGTGTTGCCGTGTTCGATTGTCTCAGATTGGGCTCAGTTGCATGTTGTGCTGAAACTGTCTTGTAATATGAGATCAAAAACATTTAGACAGATTCCAGATGTTCTGATCACATCTGCATTGTTAAATCAACTTGTACTTTGACTGGCTAAACAGTTGAGTTCAATGCTTTTAATGTTATTTTGGTTTATTAAGAGGGTTTAGGTATTGTTATAGTATTCATTTCACTGTACAAACAGTAATTCAATTTTTTAGAGGGGTTCTATAAGAAGCTAAGTTTGTACCTTAAGCACAAACACGTTATTTGCAAAGGCAGAATGTGTAATGAGTGGAAGAGATCTTTATTTAGCTCAGTTTATTTGCATCAGAAAACAATACGCTATCTTAGAAATATGTTTTTAATTCTCAGAAACACCAACATATGTAAATGATGTAAAAAAGATCCTCTTAAATCTCTCTGATCATAGTCTCCTTATGTAAACATTTGTGTATATTAATTCAAAAGCACATACAGTATTTATCTATAAACATGGTTCAGGTTGCATCTTTGTTCAGTACCACCAAATCCAACACCAGAGCAATTATTAATACCTGATCCATTATTTTTGGTACAGAATCAAGATATCACATTTTAATAAAACACGTAAACATGATTATTTCTGAGATGTTATTGTCAAGCTTAAGGATTGCACAGTGCGTCAGCACATCTCCATCATCTCTTCGAGGGACATCTGCAGCTCCACCGACTGCAGGGAGGAGGCGCCGCCTCCGACAGCAATTTTCTTCAGCGACTCCAGTGAAGTCAGGACCACCTGAGACAGAAGAAAAAACCCGGGAGCAGAAAGTCAGATGCCATGACAAGAATGACAAGAGTGAGATGACGAGTTTGAGCTTGACAGAAGCAATGAGACGTGTCAAGCTGCTTTCTCCAAAGTAACTTTATGTTTAAGCTTTTCATTTCTCAGCATGCATTCCTCTGCAGAGGCTCGGGAGTAAAAAAAAAAAAACAACCTTTTACACCCGAGGGATCATTTGTGACCAGGCGCTTTTCATGCTTTGTTCTCTCGGCGCTTTTAATCAATACCGAGACAAAATTGCCTTTTGAAAAGTGCTGCCGACTACAGCTCCCTTGAGTGGGCAATTCTTGGCGGTTTGCTGACTCATGAAATTTGACAGAGGTATGTGCAGCAAGAAAATAAATAATATTATTATAATACTGAAATACTGCTCTATAGGTCTGTGAGAGCACAACACTGACTGTGCCTTTCAATAATTCAAAGGGACTTTCACCTCCACTGTGATGAGTTTCTTCTCCCAAGACTTGTTGTCTGGGTCAGGCCACTTCTCCCCAAGGCAGAAGAACAGGGAGCATGGAGGGCTGTCTCTCCCTTCAATGAAGTCCAATATTCCTAGAGGGGAAGGACAATCAATCACTACATCAAGCCGACATGCACGATATGGCACGTTTCCACAGGTAAGCTGAGAAAAAAGCTACAGAATTATTCCTGTCACCCACCTTGCAAAAAGTCCTTGAACAGGTACAGTGGTTGAGGCTGCAGTTTAGAAATCTCTTGCGGCTGTCTGCTCCTGTGATACTGAGAGATGCTCCAAAATGCTTTGATTTCACCCCGCCGCTGGCCATAGACCACATGGCCTGAAACCCCCACGTCCAAACCATCGCCCAGCTTTTCCAGGATGCGTTGGGTCAGACTGGCTTGGGTTTGATCCAGCATGACTCCAGGGCTTGGCAGAGAGACCAGGGACAGGCCTGACTCGTGATCCAAAACTGTGCCGTTGAGATCGGGCCTGATGTGAACATTTATTCATTCGATTTCATATTAAAGGCAGAGCCCTGAGGAGATTGATACCACTCTCATATCTGTAAGGTAAATGTGTAGCTGCAGCCACGAGACGGTTAGCTTAGCTTAGCATAAACAAGAGGAAACAGCTAGCCTGGTGTTACTTAATGAGCTTTAGAAGAGCTGGTCAGTAAATTTAGCTATCTTTGGAAAGAGCCAGGCTAGCTGGGTCCACCTGTTTCCAGTCTTTATGCTAAGCTAAGCTAATTGGCTCCTGGCTCCAGCGACATACTTACTATATATTCGTATCAATCTTCTCATCTCTTACTCTCGGCAAGAAAGTGAACATTCTGCTTCCTAAAATATCAGACTATTCCTTTACCTGTGACGGTTAATCTGAAGTTAGACACTGAGCATTTGTGAGACATGTTTCCTTTGATGAAAGCGTTATTATGATCTTACCTGTAGACTAAACGGATTCCAACTTCATTCTCAACCAGCTGCTTGGACACCATCACCCCTCTGTAGTACACTGATATCCTGAAATGAGTCTCTATGGATTCAGAAATAGGAGAAGATTATGAGAAAGAGCGCACCACTCTTAACTGTATTCCTGTTTAAAACACATTTGATGATGATTGAATGATGTTAATTGACTGGCTACATTACTTTTAATGGCCTAATTGAAGTTATTAGATGCTGATATTGAGTGAGGGATGTCATTTTTGAATGTCAGTGTAAAATTCCCCTTTCCTTTTCACAGCAACATCCGTTGACTTACTGAAATGTTCTCTGTTACTGGTATGTAGGAGCTGCTCTGCCAACTGCTCGTCATAGGCATCTCCCACAGCTCCCTCCATTGGATGTGCTGGTTGCTCAGGCAACCCAGCTTCACTGCCTGCACCCTCAAACATTACTGGATACTGCTGTTGCCCAGGCAACGCGTCTCCATCAATCACAACCAGGTTTCGGAGCAGTTGTTGCTCAGGAGGAGGCTCAAAGCCTGCGGTGCCCTCTGTGGAAAAGTTGCAGAAACTGAATAAAGTGTTTGTAGGAAGGCAGCGTGGATGCTGTTGTTTTCTGCTCACACTGCAGCAGTGAGGAGGAAATAATGAGCAGAGCAGACACAGTAAGTCTACCTTCTCCGGGGCTGATGTTCAGTCCCTTTAGACACTCCTGGAGAATATCCTGGTTGGCTGAGGATTCTACTGGCAAATATTGGTTAGTTCAGAAAGATTCATATTCAGTGTTTCCACATTCATGGAAATGATAAGGTAATAATGTACCTTCTAAACAGGAGATAATAAACAGTCCCGTACCTGCAAACACACCGTCCATTGGAAGGTAGAGACATTCTTCAAAGCATTGGGCGGCCTGGCTCTACGATATCACATATACACATTGGACTGAGTTCACATGCACTTACACATTTACACATTTTACGTCCAGTGTTCCTACAAACCCACAAGCAGTCGCTTACTTCTTGTGTAGGAAGGCGATACTCCTCAAATAAATCGAGGTCAACTTGGTCCTGGGATCCAGCAGAAGAGTTATTAGCTTTGAGAGTGAAAGCAAAGAGCTTAGTTAACATCTGCAGCGTGCTATCTTTTATTCATTTATTCCCCTCAGAAACACCTCTTTAATCTCATAATCCCCTTTACAAACAGCATTGCCTCTGTGTTCCATTCCTCAACCGCAGAAACATAAATCCAAACTTAAACATATGCAAAATAGATGGAAATGTGATGATCATCCAAATCAGGTAAGGGGGTGATCAGATATGTGCTGTGCACGGAAAGAATCATTTTCAAATCCAATTAATGCAAAGTGCCAGTGAATACATTCCACATACACGTCTCATTACATTGATTCTGTTAATAGGTGGTTTTTAATACAGTTCATCAGAGGAAATAGTTGATTTTTGTAACTTGACTGGTATCGACTACAATAAAGGGCCGAATGGTGATAGTCTACAGACACCCTGGTGGATCCTCACCTCCTGATGCTGGCTCATCCGGCCAGCGAAACACTTTGTGGGGGTCGGCAGCGTCGTTCTTGTTGTCAGAGACCAGCTTGAAGCCTTTGGCCCGGAGGGCGCTGCGGAAGTTCCTTTTCCAGACTGAGGCGTCTCCGTGAGCACGGCCATTGCCACTCACCTCTGCCCAGGCCTGCAGGGAAGACACAGGTTGAAGGCAATACACTCTTCAAAAAGATATCTAATACATGATGGATTGTTTTAAACTATTGTCACTTTGTGGAACACAATGAATACAAGTCAAAAGTTATGTCCAATTTATGTATGTGACTACTTTCTACCATACTGCCACTGATGTTTTTTTACTGATGACTGTGCGTGACTATTACTTTAAAGATGAGGATGTCCGTGTCGGAGGAGTCCTGTCTTAAAGCATGTTTCCATGGGATGGAGAACTCCGTTTTCTGTTCTGTTTGCCAGCTCACGCCGGGATACCTGCCGCTGTCAATCTTGGTCCGCAGCCACGGGATGAGCAGTGGTTTAGAATGAGACATTTCTGCAGGACAAAACGTCCCGTCAACAGTGTTACAAGGGCGCCATTTGGCATCCCCGATCATCAGTAACATGATTCCCAGATCATCTATTATAGAAATCATTTAATACATTTTTGTTGCTTTAATTTTAAGATTAGTTTTGTAGTATTTCAAGCTCAGAAGCCGATCCAAAAGCAGCTGAGCCAGGCTGGATTTTTAATCATCATAATTATTCATATGTATTTCTAGGTTTATATGAATTATTAGAATGTTCGGGTCCATCTTAAAATACTGTAGAGTGCTATTCAGTCATTTTACAACTGGATTCAACGATGTAATCAAGTTAGTAGTGTAAGTAAAAGGGTGTAGATAAAATACAATGGAACTCAACCTTTGCATGTTTCCATGAACTGTTCATTAAAGTGTAGACAACATATTTCTAATTACAATAATACCAGAATGAGGGATTCATCTTTCTGTCTTTTCTCACTCCCACTAAATTATGAAAAGTTTAAAGAAACATGCAACACACAGTGTCTGAGCGTCAACGTCCTGACTTCTGTAGAACAATGGTGCAGCTGGAAAAACCTGTTTATATTGCCAATTTCTGAATCGCAAGAAAGAGGAAGCAGGCAGGTATTAGACCAGCTGTGCTTCAGCATTCAATATCAAAAATACTCAAACAAAAACAACCTCAAAATACTTAGTGCAGTAAAATGTATTCAAGGATAAAAAGAAAAAGTATAAAGCACTCCACTCGGAAAAATGCTTCTTCACAGTCAAATATTAACATTGGTGTAAAGAAGTTCAATGTTTGCTTTTAAATGTAAAAGTTAACCAGAATATTAAAGTGTAAATACTCATGTAGCATACAACCACGTCAAGTCTGAAATTGAATACAGCATGCAGTATATTGAAATATGACTGTGGATATTCGTGTTATCGTGTGTAAAATGAGCTGTAAAACCCGCGGATGAGGAGCGCCATAACCACAAGTGAAATTGTTGCCAACAGTTCCACAACAGAGCACAGCTGAGGAGACATGTTATAAACACTGACAGTTCCGATGGAAACTCTCCTACCTGAAGTAACGAGATGTCCGCCGATGAGAGTCGAGTTCAAGGTCAAACTTTAGAGAAGTGATGCAGGATGACGGCAGTAAGTACGTGCAGCAGGAACAATAACCTGTCGGAGCGCCTTATTCCTTAAATACCGACGGGAGTCCGGCTGCTTCCCGCACTGACGAGGTGTTCTCGGTAAACTCCGAATCGTCAGTTTCGTTTTCCAGATGTGACGTCAGGATATGTCATACCAGCCTGCGCCGCTAGGTGGAGTCAAACACACGTTTATATGTATACACTTGTGAGGACCGTCAAGGACACAATACATCCCCTGACCCTTTATGCCTCAGTTAAATATGTTTAAAGACATAAAATACTCTGCTTTGAATACTCATTTGAGTCTGACATGGGTTTTGTTCCACAGAAAGAAAGTCCAGTTAACTGGTTAGAAATACTTAAAACACATCTACTCGTCCTACCTCAGTGAAAAAGGCAGAATCTGTGGATTTGCAAACAAAAACAAATCCTGCTGGTAGGTGCATGTATTAAATTCAGATTTAACGTTTTCCTCCTTCAGCAGATGAATGTGAAAACAGCTTCTCTGGTGTCAAACTGACGCACCGCACATTGAAGGCCAAACATCCAAGACAAAGAACAATAACCACAATCGTCTGCCCTGAGAGAGACTTATGAATACACAGGACCAATCAAAATGTCCTCACAAAGATAGATGTCAAAGAACACCGACACACACACTGTAGGGAAACAAAACGCCATTTGTTCTTTGCAGATTTTATTTGTTTCTCAAATACAGGAGAGTTAATGTACAGAAGGACAAAGAATTTCATCAAGAACTGTACAATATTTACAAGCCTTTTTTTCCTTTTTTTATGGAAAATTAGATTGTTTTCAAAATAAGTCATAGTATGCACAAACATCAAAATGATAAAAATGAAATGACTATTTCCTCTTTAAATATTACTTATTTATACTCCTTCTTCCCACATGGGAAATGGAAAGTTTACTTCTTTTTCTTTGCACCTGCATGACGGATGATTGAACTGAAGCACAACAATGTTAAGTTTCAAATAGATTTCCCCCCCATCCTCATCTTTTTTTCCTTTTATGTTTTTTTTCTCCCCGTTATTTTACACCCACTGTATTTGATACAATATTTCTGTCTCGACGTCTGTTCTTTGAATAGAGGGGAAGACGGCTTGGATATGTGGGTAACGACTGAATACTGATCCTGTGGAAAATAAAAAGGTTTTGAAAATGTCCGGGCAGCGACCCAGTGCTTGTGAGAGTTTAAGTTAAAAACCTCCTCATATAAATAATAAAAATGTGTTTATATATTATCACACAGCAGACCGGTGCTGCCCTTCACATAGCACAGGATGAGAGAGAGAGAGAGAGAGAGCGCGTCTATTAACACATTTCATGTTTCTATCCGTGGACGAGTCAGTGTTCACTCTGCTCACGGCACACAACGCAGTTTAAAAAGCATTCTCACCCTCTTCCACTCTTTTCAAAAGCCAACAGCTGATGTTAGTCTTCAAAAAAATAATTTATGTAAAAACTAAGTGGTAACAGTTTCTCTTTGAACTATTTTCTTCATGACACACAGTTAACAAGATGTCAGTGGCTCCTCCGTTGACTTGGCGTTACGGCTCCTCTTCTTTGTCCTTCCACTTCACTTCGCGTCCCCCCCCCCCCCCCCCCCCCCCCCCCCCCCCCCCCACCCCCCCCCCCCCCCCCTCAACGGTCAATTCCCTCCTGACCCCTGATCCGGTAGGGTCCCCCCCCCCTCACAAAGTAAGACATTTCTTTAGTCAGTGATCAACAAGAAAAAGAACAGAGGCCAGTGTCCAAGGTCACATGAATAGACCTCCTCGTGTTCGTCAAGGGCCTTAAAAATTCATCCTCAGATCTTAAGAGACTTGAAGCGGGCCGGGGTGGGGGGGGCTGTACAGTAGGATCCATCTTTGTTTTTTAAAATCCTCTAGCTTTAATCCATGCTCTCCCTCTCTCTCTCTCTCTCTCTCCGTCTTTGTGGTCGACTCAGGCTTTGGTGCTGAGCGTGAGCAGCTCGATGAAGGAGCTGAAGAGGGTGTCCAGCCAGCTCTGGTTGGCCATGCACTGCTGCACCACTTCCTCTTGGCCCGGGTCCTCAGCCGCCTGCTCAATGGTGTTGGTCTGAGGACAAGGGACGGAAAACACAGACAAAATTGTGACGACTCAAAACCAGTGTCTTAGGCTACACGGAGCCAGCCTGCGTACGCTTTCCTTCCCATCTAATGAGATTTGTGCATTTCCATACAGTATTTGAGGGAATGCGAACAAGCAGCTAACATGACGTTGTGCTTACCTCTTTCTTGCACTGTAAGAAGGTGTGGTATTTATAGTGATGCAGGGAGTGGAAGAGACTGTAGATTCGATACGTCTCCGCTGACAGTTTAAGGTCCTAGACAAAAAAAAAAAAAAAGACAAAAAAGAGGAAGTCAGATTTATCATCACAATAATTAGATCAATTTCAACACGTTAAATTAGCAGAAAAGCTGCAGTGAAAATAATTCCCACTGTTCCGTGTGAGAAAGAGTGAAACTCACAGCAGGTGTTAGAGCGGAAGCTAGAGCGGTTTTACCTCTCGGCTCTCAGCGATCCATCTTTCACCGTCAAGCTTTTTATGCTAATGCGGCATTTTGTTGATGCCGTGTTTTAAGTGTCACCCAGAAACCAGAAATTATCACCTGGTTATCGGCTAAACATCTAGGCTCCACAGCTTAAATAAAATGACCAAAAGGTATTCCTTAGTGGTCTTCCTTATTGTTTGACCCCAACATATTCTTTAAAATACATTTAATAATCTATTAAAGGCCTACAGACGCTCTTAACCCTCTAAACACTCACACCTACCTGTGGTTTAGGCAGGGTCTTTTTGACTCTGTTGAGGGTCTTTCGGTTGTAAGCATCCCCACTTAGCCGCACCCTGACCGCTCCTGAGTCCAGGGGGTCTACAATGATCTGGGGGTACGCATGCAGGACCTCCTGTCAGGGGAGAGACATCAAAGAAAAAGGTCAGAAACTGAAAAGGCGGACCGATAACAAGATATTAAGATGAAATGTAAGAAAAGTTTGTACTTGAGTTTGTGATTATTTTCATTACCAATAAATCTGTTTATTATTAAAAATGACCATTTAGTACATAAAACATCAGGTGATGTCAATTTATGACAAAAGCAGCTAATCCTGGACACATTTCTGTTTGATACATGACTTGATCGATTGGTCGATTATTGTTGTAAACCTACTTCCTGTTTAAAGACGGAGAGAGAAGCAGCAGCTTAAGGGCGGATTACCTGGTGCTGAGAGCTCATGCTGACTCTCCTCAACAACCTCCTCTTCTGTTCGCTGATGATGCTGTCGATCTTCCTCATCGGCGGGAGGTACAGCTCATCTGGTGGCCAATCAAGTCAAAGGAAGTTTCATTAGTCATCATTCATGTAGCCGTCAACCATTTCAACACCGACGGCTGATTCAAAGCAGCGTTTTCCGTCTATCAGCATTCCCAGAGCTTTCCTTCAACCTGTCACACCTCGTTTATTTTGGATTTCCAAAAAAACATTAAAAGATGAATCTAAATACGTATGCTGCAGAATTCGTTTTTTTTTTCTCTCCCCTTCTATTGTAACATCAGTTTGTCCGTGAATGGCTTGAACTGAAGCAGCTGCTGGTGATGTTTATTCAACCGGCCCAAACTGCACGCAGACACTTGAAGCCACTTGAAGACGATACCATCAAAATGCCTCAATGCAGCTGCTTCAATGCAGACATGTAATCTGCAGAAAACATGCTACCAGACAAGCAGACCTGGTTAGGAGAGACTGCATCCGAGCTTCCCACTCTATCTCTGTCTCCTACATGTCAGTAGTATGTTTTTTAAGAGAGGCTTTAATTGTAAACATGCTGAAGAGGCCGTGTGTGTGTGTGTGCAGTTCTCACCGTCGGTGTCCTCCAGGGCTTGGATCATGTCGGGGTCCAGGGCTGTGCTGACCAGCATCTCCACGTAGCTCCTGAACATCTCCCTCATGGCACGGTTGTTCACTCCGCCTTTCACTGGCACTGAGCGGACGAGAACCAGAGTTTAAAACCAACACTCTACCGTGGTGCATGTGCTGCGTTGTGACTCCATTACACTGACTTCTAATGGCAAACGTGCGAGCACAAAGAATCAAAATGGCATCTCACTTTCATTCTCACTAGCTGCCTCCTCCGATGAGTCCGAGTCAGATGATGAAGGTATTTCCTTCAGCCACCTCTTCCTCTTCTTCGGCGGTGGCTCCGCCTTCACTTTGGCTGGCTTGGTCTTGGGTTGGCGCTCAGCCTTTTCCTTCTCCTTCCTCTCCACCGCTTTCTTCTCCTCCTTCGCTCTACCTCGCTCCGCTGCTGCGACACGTTTCTCCACTTTGTCCTGCTGCGGCTGCACTCGCTTCTCCTTCTCCCGCTCCTTCTCAGGCTCCCTCTCCTTCTCCTTGGCTTTGGGCAGAGCAGCTGGAACCTCCTTTTTCTCCCGCTGTTCTTTTGTTGTTGCAGTTCTGGTTTTCTCCCGCTGTTCACGCTGGACTGGCGGAGCCACTCTCTCCTCTTTCTCCACTCTCGGTGGTGCCTGGGTGGCAGGAGGGGAAGCCATTCTGGAGAGGGACTGACGTCTGTGATGCACAAAGGAATTGTATCAGAGATGGAAACAACTTTAAAGATTAACGGAGTGTACATTTATTGCCAAAAACCTAAAATTAAAAACAAGTACAAGTCCTTTGAAATGACATTAAAAGGTATCGGCAAAATAATTGACAATTGATTACTATATAGCAAACATAGGTACCTGAGAGCAGGTGTGGCTCTGCGCCAAGGTCTCCGAGAGCAGACTCTGACATAGTCCTTCTTGTTGACATTCTCCAGAAACTTGACATAGATCCGCTGGTATCGCCTCTTGGCATCTCCGAAGTAGCCGAGATACTGTATCAGAAACAGATTATAAAGATGCAGTTACACACGAGTAGCACAACTTTCAGTGTCATATATTTGACTGAAAATGGTGTGAAAAATATCTCTATATATAAGCATACATCACAGCATATACTATAGTATTATCATCAAATGCTATGATGCAGCTTGGACTGTATAAAGTGTAGAAATCAACCATAATTGCTTGCAGGTGTGTTTGGATTACTGAGGGCTTGCGGGGGGGACGACTCACGTTGCTTGTGGCGCAGAACTGTCTCTGTCCATCTTTGATCTCTGGGCTGAACTTCTGCAGCAGCGCTTTCTGCACCCTCCAGATGGGAGGAGGCTCACGGCCCGTCTGCAAGGCCAGCTGTGCACAAACACACGACACACAAGGAAGTATAACATATCTGTCATTTGGAAGCTACTGAAGGATTCAAGTTTGAACTCATTTTCTCATTAAAGTGATTTTCCCTGATGATTGTCCTTGGCTTTAACAATATCTTAGATTACTGTACAGACACCTACATAGCAGCGTAATGACTTGGTATTAGTTAAAATAATATGTTGGTCTCCACCAGAAAGAAAGCCATTGTTGGCCCAACAAAGTACTATGTGATTCTTTAACTGTAAATAACACACAAATACCTTAAGTGTTCGAATGTCCTCCACCCGTACCACAAACTCGTCCCTTTCTCTGAAGATGCCCTCGCCTCCACTCTCGCTCTCGTCCTCCTCACTCTCTCCAGCAATGGCAGCATCTTCTTGCTTCTGGGCCAGGTGCAGGGAGTTGATCTTAGGAGGTGGGGCCTCTTCGGGAGAGGCGGGGGACTCCGGAGATGGCACGGGAGACTCCTTCTGAATTGAAGACGGGGGAGGAGGGGAAGTTGGAGGAGGAGGGGAAGCAGGCTGAGGGAGAGAAGCGGGTGGAGGAGGTGGCGGAGAGGGGCATGTGGGAGCGACGGGGCTTGGAGGCTGGGAATGCTCCTGTTGTTCCTCTGGTAGAGGCAGGGGTGAGGGGAGTGAGAGGGGAGGGAGGGGGGAGTGAGAGGGGGAGGAAGAGGAGGCGGGAGATGGAGGGATAGAGGGAGGTTCAGGAGTTTCTGCTTCTGGAGGAATCTCAGGGAGGGACGCTTTGAAGGAAAAAAGAAGGGCAAGATTAGGGTTAAGGTCATTTTTAATCACAATGTTAAAACAGCTACAAGAATTAAATCAAATTGGACAATTGGGACATTTTATTAGACCAAAAAACTACAGCAATAACTCAGCCTGGGGGAAAAACTATACATTTTCTTAAGCAGAGTTGTAGAAAAATCAACTTGCAAGAAAATGAGGCACAAGAGGAACAAAAAGCAAACAGACAGCCTTACCATCAAGATTGGGGGCACCGAGGGCTTCCAGCAGGGGCTCTCTCTCCTCCGTCATATCGCACTCTTCATCCCCTCCCGTGCTCCTCTCCTCCTCCTCCTCCTCCTCCTCCTCATTCTCCTCATCTTTGTTCTCATCCATGTCTCCATCTTCTGGCTGGAGGACATCGGGTTCGTTGGACTCGGGCAGGTCGTGGGGCGTATGCATGGTGGGCTGTGGGCTAAGTGTGGGGGGCTGCAGTGACGGAGTAAGTGGGGACTGAGGAGCCTGAGGATGAGGAGGTGTAGGAGGTAGCGGGGTCTGCATGTTAGAGTTCAGCTGAGGAGTGTCGTACAAAGCAGAAATGGCTGAGGAAATGCTCTTCTGGAGGTCCTGGTTCTTTCCGACCGAGTCCTCCTCATCAGAGGAGAACGACGGCAAGGTCTCCAAGTTCCTCTTCAGTTCGTCGTCCAAGCGCTTTGGGCTTGGGCAGTTGCCCAGAGTCAGACCCCCGTTCCCTTCGCTGTCCCCGAACAGAGGTGGCGGCGGTGCGGGAGACAGTGGGCGCAGACCTCCCAATTTACAGGGGGAGGTTTCGCCGTTGTCGTGTTCCATTCCTGGAGAGATGTCCAAGCCTGGAGGTCTCTTCCCTGTCTTGAGGAAGTCCAAGAATGAAGCGACGAAGCCGGCCTTGGACTCAGAGTCTTTCTCATCACCCTAGAAGTAGAAAAAGAGAGACTTACCACCACTCAAGTAGTGAACTTCACAACTACCAAGCAATGAATGTTAATTATCTCAGCATATAATCATGTCGCTCTTACCCTTTCCTCCAGCCCCTCATCATCCACTTCACTCATCATGTGGATTTTCTGCTTGTTCTTTTCTTGACTTCTGTTGCTTTCGGTGCTGCAGGGGGGTCCAGGACTTAAACCAAGTGAGGGCGCGGAGCCCACCGAGCCGTCCGACAAAGCAGGGTCCGTGCCAGACAAAGAGTCCGTCCTCAGCAAGGCATCGGAGGACGACAGGGTACCAATTGGTAACTTGATCTAAAACAAAAGAAAACAATAGGATTTAAGGAAACTCTGCCTGAACATACAGATGTATATGAATCACCATATTTTGCTTGTAATAACAAACACTAGTTATTTATTTATTGGTAACAATAAAATGTCCTTGAATGAATATTTGTTTTAACATATCTAGAGTGAATGCCGCTGACCTTCAGAGGAGGAATAGGCTCGTGTAGCTGCTGGTGATGGAGCTGCTGTGGCTGCTGCTGATGGAGGGGATGTTGGTGCATCTGATCCTGCTCCTTCCCGCTCATTTCCATGTACATATCCTCCCTCCTTTGTCCTCTACCTCGGTTTCCACGGCCCCTGCCCCTACCTCGTCCCTCCACACTGAATCCCCCTCCTGCTGGCGTCCCACCCATCTCCCCCATCATCCCTCGTGGAGTGTAGGGCTCCGGCATTGGGCGGATGCGAGGCCTGCCTCTTGGCCTAGGGGGACCATCTCTCTTGGGTCTAGTGGGCTTTCGGCCCCTCTTCTTGGGTCCATCCTGAGGCACAAGAGAGTGTGAACCCATTGAGGAATAACCAGAGGAGTGGTAGAAGTCAATGTCACCCATTAAAGGGCTGAGAGAGCCACTCCCTCCTCCTCCTCCCTTTCTGCAGCTGGACACCAAGTCTGGCAAAAGGTCCGGCAGCCTCCGGCTGTTCAACCGAATGTCCGCCGGCTGGTCGGCTTTATCCTCGTCATCTTCAAACTCATATTCTTGAGCGTAACTTTTTTTAGGCAGTGTGTTGGGGTCCCGGCGCTCCTTCAACAGGTGGAAAGAGCTGGACTTGAGGAGCTTCTTGGGACGAGAGGAGCAGAAAATGGGAGATTGGAGGCCTCCAGAACCAGCTCCTTGGCCAGCTCCTCCAGGCCCAGAGGACAGTTTGGCTCCAGAGTTGTTGGGACCCGCAGGATTGGGACCCATGCCCATAGCTGGGCCCTGGGACTGTATCAGTCCTAGCTGTTCAGTGTTCACAGTGGAAGGGAGCTCGTGGGTTTTAAGGGAGTCTAGATCCAGAGTCATGGTGTTGTTGCTGGGTTCTTCCAGGCCATGACAGTATGGCTCATAACCTTGATCTCCACCATGGTGACCCATTATGTCATAGCTAGGTCCACCACTTCCCCCTGCTCCACCTCCACCCTGTCCAGCTTTCATGGAATCCATTCCCTCTTGTCCAGTGTGGCTTTCATTCATCTCCTCCTGTCCTGGTCCGGCACCTCCTGCACAGCTCGACTTGTAGTCCTCTGCGCAAAACATGTCTTCCATTCCTGGAAAAAAGGAGCGGTCCTCATCCTGAAGGAGGGAGTCCGGGAAGCAGATGGAAGTTAGGGGTACAAAGCGGTTACTTTGTTGATTCTGGTCTGCTTTCTCCACCGGGCTGACGGTGTCGAACTGGTGCTGCTCAGAGCGCTGTTGGTCCAGCTGGCTCTGCTGAGGGGTGAGCTGAGAGGACAGGGGCTGCTGTTGGTCAGACTGTGGCTGGGAGTGGGCCGAGCCAGATGATGGGGGTATGTGGTGAGGGTGTGTGGGCTGCTGGTGAGGGTGGTGAGAGTGGGTTTGTTGGTGCTGAGCGCTGGGGTGCTGCTGCTGGGGAAGGTGCTGTGAAAGATGGTGCATGTGAGGCGGGGTGGATAAGCCGATATCGGGCTCAGAGAGAAAGGAGTGGAGCTCAGAGGCCGAGTGTTGCTGTGTGTGATGGTGCCTCTGCTGCTGCTGCTGCTGCTGCTGCTGCTGCTGCTGCTGCTCCTGTCTGTGGCGCTCACTGCTACCGCTACTCCTTCCCACGCTGCCCGGTCCACCGCGCCTGTCCTCTGCAACAACTACGTCTGTGCTGGAGGTCTGAGAAAGGGAGCGTTCCAGCATGTCCAAAGAAGACACCACTGAGCTTTGTTTAACCTGGCTCTGCTCGTGCTGATGTGACGGGGGGCCGTGGTTGTAGTGAGCCGCTGCCACCTCCAAAACCTGGGACTGGAGTTGAAGCTGGAGCTGGGTGGTTTGGGACTGAGACTGACCCTGATGTTTACTCGAGCCAAGTGTCCCACCAGCACCTTCCATTACAGCTTGCTGTTGGCTAATGGAGTGCTGCTGCTGTTGGGGATGAGAGTCCATTTTGTGATGCTGTTGGTGTTGCCGATGAGAGTCCATTTTGTGGTGCTGCTGTTGATGCTGTTGGTGAGGCTCCAGTTTGTTGCGGGTGGTGTGGGACAGCACCGACTGGAGCAGGTGTGGCGGCTGACGGGACTGGTCGGTGGGAGAGTCCATGAGGGAGCCGGCAGCTTGAGACTGGGAATGCTGTTGCTGGAGTTCCGGTGTTTTCCGAGGGTATGGGATTTCAGCCCGCTCCTGCGGCTTCTTTTGGAGATCCATTTGGGTGTGCGGAGGTATCTGCGAGTGTGAGGACACGTGCTGACTGTGCGAGGAGTGTTGGGGAGCGAGGGAGTGTTGACTGTACGGGTCGCCCCGCCCATAGTGGACTACCGAGCCGAGGTCGTCGTGGTGGTGGAGATGGGAGTGCACTTGTTCAGCGCTGCCTCTCCCCCCGCTGCTCCTGCTGCTTCCAACAGACCTCTCGTTCCTTTGCTGCTGTTGTTGTTGATGATGGTGTTGTTGTTGATGTTGTTGCTGTTGCTTCTTTAGTGACATCTCCAGCTGGGTTTCCAGCCCTGAGATGGACCCTGCATTACCAGTAGATGTGGCACTGTGGGTGCGTATGACACTCTGGGGGTGGTACCTCTCCTCAGAGCTCTTACCCATGTCATAGCTCAGCCCTTTGTCTGAATCAGTGGTCGGGGGCACAGACTGGGGCTGAGGCTGTGTTTGTTGGGAGGTCTGTTGGGGCTGTTGTTGAGGATGGTGATGACCGGCCTGGGGTGTGGGACTTGCTTGGGCTTGCAGCAGGTGCTGGATCAAGAACTCATCGTCGTCATCGACTTCCTCTTGGGATCTCTGAGAGCCCACTCCTAGCATGGAGGTGTCCTTTGTTTTGGAGGAGGTGGAATGATAGGACTGAGATTGGGAGCTGGGACCTCTGGTGTCAGGGTAGCCCTGTGGGGAGGCCAGGAAGGTGGGGGAGAGGACTGAGGAAATGTATTTATTAGAGCCTGCACCTCCTGGAGATTGTGTGGGGCAGGTGGGCACTGGGGAGTGCAACCCTGGACGGATGATGCCCGAGTTGCCTGATGGAGAGGGGCTTGAGTCTGGAATATGATAAGACCCTCCGCCACTACCACCTCCACCTCTCTCATTGGTCATACTATTTCCCGCTCCTCCTCCCGACCCGGTGTTCCCACTTCCTGTGCCGGTACTGCTTCCTCCTCCAGATGCGCCACTGCCCGATGAACCACTTGACCTTAAAAGGGCAGGGGAGTGACCTGGGGCTCCGTAGCCTAGTGATGGGCTTCCAGCTCCACCCAGAGATGATGGGAGCGATCCATAAGCAGAGTCAGCTCCATATAGATCAGTGGGGTATGACTGGCTTCGCCCTCCTAAACTCCCATAGCCTTTCCCACCTGTACCTGAGCTCAGGTCTTGGGCTTGTGGTGAACTGAAGCCTCCGTAGGACTGAGCCAGGTGGGAAGTAGGTGGCTGATTAGGGGAATATGACTGTGTCTGTTGTTGGGGTGGGGTCTGACCAGTAAGAGCAGAGGGGGTCTTCACTGAGGGAACAGGGGAACCATAGCCTGAGAGGCAGGATTTGGGGAGAGACTGGGGGGCTGACGTGGAGGTGGCAGGGGGCTGCTGCTGTGGGGCAGGGGGAGGAGGGGCTGGTTGAGGGGGTGGCTGCTGCCTGGAAGGGGCTGCGCTGGAGCTGGAGGTGGGGATTGAGTTGGAAGGATGAGCCCCGGAGGTGGCAGAAGATGAGGAGGAGGAGGAAGAGGTAGAGGAAGCAGAAGGGGGTGTGTGGGGAGTTCTTGAGGATGATGCTGAACTGGCAGAAGAATAGCCACTGCTGGAGCTGCTTTTTGTACCTTTTCCAGCTGAGGAAGAAGACGAGGAGGAGGAGGAGGAGGAATAAGGAGGCTGGATGATTGGCCGATACTGCTCAGTGCGAGCGGCGGCCTTGAGGTCGGATGAGGGGCTCTGGTCGCCCAGTGGGCTGCAGGAAAGGCCAGCGTGCCTGTGGTGGGTGGCGATCTGCTGGTACCCCGCCCCTCCACAGCTGAGGTAGTGCTGAAGGGAGTGGGCAGCAGAGGATGAGAGCTGCGACTGAGCTGGCGTGGGCCGCTGGTAGTGCTTGATGACGCTGTCCTGCCGGGGAACAGCCCGTTCCTGAGCCGAATTGGACTGGGACTGGGTCTGAGGCTGGGCTGAGGAAAAGACGGACGCATTGTACAGCTGGGACGACTGGTCCTGGAGCTGTGATGACAGCAGGTTGAACTGGTGTGACTGCAGGTGCCTGGCAGAGGACGACTGGGCTGATGCGGCACTCGTGGGATCCTGGCTGCCCCTGTAGGCAGCTGCTGCGGCACCCTGCGATGACAGGAGTCTATCAAAACCCAGGCTAGACTGGGATGGGGCCTTGATATGTAATAGGGGGTCATGTGGGGAGAGCAGGCCATTGGATGTAGGACTAAACGTAGGCGTGTCCTGGAGGGAAAGGGAGGCTGTGGGGAAAGAGCGGCTGGAGAAGGATGCTGGATGCTGATAGGCTGAGAGAGCTGAAGAGGAGGGGAAGGAGCCAGAGCCAGGAAGGGCTCCAGAGATGAATAGTTCAGGAGGAGCAGGTGTGTGCATCGCTGTTAGGAAAAGGAAGACATATTGCAAAATTACTCAGTATCCATCAAGCTATCATTTAAATTACCAAATAACAAACCCTCTTTTAAAAGTATTCCAGAGTAAGACGGTTAACAGTACAGTAAAATGTTATATAAAAATGCACAAATAGCTAGATGTCAGAATAATAATGTAGCCAAACATTGGGAGGTTCTTTAAATGTCATATTGACTGTGGGGTCTGTTTGAATGTCAACAGATGAGGGAAGATCTAACACTGCCCCACCTGTCTGCCAGGATGGCGTGCGAAACTGGGAAAGAAGGGAGGAGGCAGAGGGTGGAGGCTGGGGACCTCGAGACTCCAGGGCTGAGATCAGATTCATGACGGAGGCATCGGGAGCAGAGGGGCTGGCATGGTGGAGGCCAGTGTCAAAGAGCCCCGACAGACCTGTGGGAAGGAAAGACAGAACCAAGAAAATTGATTAATTGGTCAAGAATGCAAATTTGAACATTTTGCTAATTGTGGAGATATAGATGAGTTCCTAATACGTAATCAGTAAACAATCAAAAAGACAGGATCTTGGGATCTAGATTTAAACAAAGTTAATTTGCCGAGCCTGCTGTCACACTTACAAATAATGTAAATCACGTCACTAGTTGCGAGTGTAACTAAGTACATCAACCTCCGTCTCTGAAAACAACCCTTAAGGTATCGCTAAACTGTACGAGAACGAATGCGGTGACTACAGGCTTTCACATCTAGGGCTTCAGCTCAATTGAGCTATAATGTGCACATTTTTCAATGACAATCTACCAGGGCCTGCATAGAGAGCCATAATAATTCATTGCTGGGGGCCCCTTATGGTAGTGACATGGAAGGTATGACATTTATCTCACCCAAACTCCGTCCAGCTGCTCCCCAAGCCCCGCCTTGGCCAGAGCTCCCTGGGTGGTGATTGGTGGCATAGCCCTGCAGAGGGTGTGGGGTGGCGTAGGCTTGTCTGTGAAGGAGCTCAGACTCAGGGTGGGATGATCTGGAACTCCCATATACAAGACTACAGAGAAAGGGGAATTGTTCAATATTATTAATTTCAGAGAACATTTACATAAACATAATCTGTTCCCAAAGTGTGACCGTTGAGAAAAAGCTTGGGGTCACTTTTGAAATACACAAAATCTGACATGTGGGTAAATAGTTTTTAAATTAAAAATCTACTCATCAGAAGTCAACTTGGGGCTTTTCATTGGTTTGGTCTACATATGCAACTTCTCAACAGTAGCTTACATGTGAAAACCAAAATCCCTGATGAGTCTAATCTATATTTGAAGTTAAGGGTAAGGATTTATTCCCCAATCAGTATCTTAACAGAATTAAAAACTAGTGCATTACACCAAAGTGTATTACATTAGATAAACCAGCAATGTAAGAGCCATGCAAAAATAATGGGGTAGTTAATTTGCAAGTATTATAATGGACCTACAACACTCAACCATTACATGATATATACATTTACCAATTAAATAAGATTCGTATTCAACGCTGAGGTTTGGCTAGTAGCAGAACTTTGCTTTACAAAATATAGATGAAATGCGTGGCTGCCCAGATAACATGCTAGCATCTGTGCTACTAGTAGCATCGACTAGCCGCAAAGCTCAGCATCTATGGTACAAATGCAGACTAGGCCCAAACTGCAAGGCCAGTCTGTTGCGTGTAAATAGACCACAGGTAACTAATGTGCAGATTTAAGCGTACTGAGAAAATACATTTTCCTTAATATGCAAGTTATTAATGATCAACGATTAATTACACTGCAGCCATTGATTACGTCGATGTAGCTAACAGCTGGTTCATGCAAGTCGACGCAAATGCATGCTAAGATGCACGCAAACACCATCAACTAGCCAGGTTTGTTGAGCCAAATACAACTTCCAAAAAGAGTATAGTGGCTTTCGACTCTGATAATGCAGCTAACTATGGGTCAAAACATTTAATATACGAGCAGATACATGAGTAAGAATGCTCGCGAGCGCAGGCCTCACGACTTCCATGCAACATACCGCTAGCTTACAGGCTAACGCGAAGCTAACAGAGCTATCTTGTACAGCCCAATTTTCAGCATCACATAAATTCACTCTAGCCTTATTTTCTTTAGCCAATTTTAGGCAAACAGCAAATTTGCAAGTTTGATGCGACTTGAATATTCCTAAATCTAATTATGCAAATTAACATAAACCATCCAAAACCCATCACCCATCACCAATTATCTAGATCACGCTTAGGCAAAATGTATTAGTAATCTTTTTATTTATTATTATTTAAAGAATGGCACCACCGCCACTTTAATATTTGTATTCCATGTTTTCTTCACAGCGTAAAATATGATAGGATGTTTCATTAAATACATGTTCCCGGTAAATATACATCAGTTGTTGTTGTTGATGTCTGTCAGGGGGCTTTGCTGCGTCTGCACTCCTCGCACTTGCTATAAATCCAGTGAATGTATCGACGAGGGTCTGTGTCCAGGCCTGCACACCGGGAACAATCATTCCTATGGATGCTCCAGACAGACCCCCACCTCCACCCCGCCAGGTCCACCGAAAAAACCCCACGTCTGTCAATCAAATTCAATTCCTATCCACCAACCTTCTCCTTTCTCCACCCCGCCCACCCCCACGACCAGCACACTGCTCTATTCCTGTTTATAATAATATTACTATGCAACCGTTTGGATGGCAATGCACTGCACATAATGGCAAAGCGTGGCACTATTTATGGGCCCAATGGCGACAATTTGTTTACTTTGGCATCATCGCAGCCTTTTGCAAAAAGTACCAGTGATGCGTGCACATTGTCTGAATCCAATGCATACCTTGCTTTTGCCGATCTCTCGTAACTCCATCCTGCTCCTGCGCCCAAATCACCAAATCCTGTTCCCGGGTAATTTCTATCCATTTATGTGGTCACAATGTGTTGCGATGGAGGACCAACGCAACGAGAACGTCGCAAACGCAGATTACGGGGAAAAAAATCCCGTCTTTCCAGTTCTCGGTTTCAGGCTATTTTCCCTGGTTTCATAAGCAAGTCCTCAGGAGTGGAAAACAGCATATTGAAAGAGAAATGGAGGGGAGGAGGAGAAAGCTGGATGAAAAAAAGAGGGGGGTCTACGGGGTTATAATCCAACTACCTCCAAAAAAAAAAAGAGACAAGTCTTTCTCCTTTTCCTACGCCTTTCACATTTATCATTTCCTCGAATGCAGGTTTAATCCAAAATCAGTCATGATGGAGGAGCCGCGGGTTTGGCTGGTGGTGGTGGACGAATTGCTGATAAACATTTGATTTGAATGCGTCCTTTTCTCCGTCTCTCCTCCCCTTTCTTTAGGCTAGTCTCTGCTACGATGCTAGCAGCAGCAGCAGAAGAAAAAAAAAAAAAAAAAAAAAAAAGGATTGCAATCGACGGGGGCCACGTTGGTAGCAGCAAATCACTCACCGTACACGAGAGCAAGGAAAACCCCAATTTCAAAGTATTTTTTGTTTCTCCTTTTGAATGCAAATCGTTCCCACCCCTCCTCCTCCGGAGCAGAGCGGTGAAGCTAGCAGCAGATGCTAGCTGTCAGTAACGACGCATCAAAATAAAACAGGGCTGCCTTTATTTCACCCAAATGCTCCTCTGATTTATGCTCTTTGGCCATTCAAAAAGGAAAAACGACGACGAGTTAGCCCGCACCGCGAAATACACAATCAACAGTACGAAAAAAAACATAAATACCGAACGAGGAAGTGTTACGAAAACAGGCCGCGTTTTAAAATCTTTTACTAATTTTCCTCCGGGGACGCCATTTTTGAAGGCGGCTGTGTCTGTCCTCCGTCTCCCCCTTTCTCTCTCTCTCTCTCTCTCTCTCTGAGACTCAGTCAGTGTCTGCAGTGACCTCCATTCACCGGTCCATTCACCGGCCCTCAGTCTGACAACCAGACCAGCGTGCTTTTCCAGATTTTCATCTTATTGAGAGGATAATTATTAATTTAGACTACATTTTACATGAGTCAAAAAATAGTCAGCTGCTCGTGCAGAACGACGCTGCGATTGGTTGAGACGCATTCGCGTGCAAAAAACATTTCCAGTGATAACCAGATTTATATATAGGCTAGGCCTTCAGCAAGTCGCTTTTGCAAATTCACATCCGAATTGTGCAGCTTGTGTGAGAGTAGCATTTCCTGCCGCCAGTCTGAAGCTCAACTGGGCTGCAGTTTGCCTCTTAGCAGTGGTATACAAATAAGGGGGATTTCCCCCTTACATATGCTAACAGTCCTTAAGACCTGTTTTAAGCCTTTATTTTTTTGTGTGCTGATTATATTATTTAGAGAACCTGTACTGCCAAACCTCATGTGCATTTGATGTGTACGCCAGCAGATGGCACACTGGATTTCATGGTCATAATGAAGGAGGAGGATTCACTGGGAGCAGAGAACAGAGAAATGCTTTTGCTCACGCTCATATCTTGATCAGGAGTTTATGAGACACTGCGATTGCCTTTGCCATCATATTCACCTGTACCTATCTCCAGTGGCACACATCAACCAATATAACAGTATTAAATACCTGAACTGGCATTGAAACTAGTTAATATTGAGGAATGTAATGCGATCTCTTTTGCTTATAGGTAACAATGATGTCCACACTCCAGAGGCCCATTTGTCCAGAAATGTATCGTGTATGGTGTTTGTTGCCCCCTAGTGGTGAAGTGAAATTCTGTCACTAAAATACTGTAAATGCTTCGTGACTACAACATTTGATCCATTTCAACTCATTTACTTTTTGACACCACTGTGCCACATTTGCAAATCACGGAAAACAAAGTGTCTCCCATAATTTCTCGTATGCTGTTCTAACACTTGTCCCAGTGTCATTATAAATGAACTGCAACAAAGTGATGCAGTCGCATATAATATTTTACATGCTCTGATTTGCTGTAATTTCCTTCTTTAAATAATTATTATTTTTGGTCTCAAATGGAGACAATATTTAAATGTTTCACTTCCCTTTAATTAACAGTATTTTGTTTGAGAGGCCCTACCTTTTATTTACTGTAACATTGCTCAGTTGTTGGTATTAAATCTGATGGAGGAAAACTAGCATTTTTAATTTAATTTTGTCTTGTTTTATTTTTTTGTGGAAAAAGAATTGTTCTGCTTTATAACCATCCAGAATTAGGAAAAGGTAGTTCACGTTGTCATCCAGATGCTATTTTAAAAAAAAAAATCACACTACCTTTAGAGCAGGAAATCGATTATATGTGGAAATGTTAAAAGCATTATACATTTAGATGAAAATCATTGGAGAAATGTATTAATTTTTTGTCTTCAGTAAAAAGCTACATGCATGTAAATGAAATCTGGATATTTATGACTGTGGGACAGAAATATGAGTTGGATGTTCAAAATATGAAACAAATAAGTTCATATAGGGGTTAACCTCACTAATGCTACCTACATGTGCTTTTAATTTTATCTTTGAAGTCCTTTAAATTCTGGATTATTTTCAGACTATTAGTTGCATCATTTTTAACAGCGTGTCTAATTCAACATTTTACAGGTGGAACAAATGCTATAACCTCACAACCTCTAACAACCAACAAAGCAGTGTTATACAAAGCCAGGCTCTCCAATCTCTTTTCAGGAAAAGACCCTCCAGTGAGCATTTTAGATGCATTATGAGGTCTTTGTAATGCTTAATGCTTGACTCGAAAGGTCAGCTATCTGCATATTCATTAGAAAGATGGTAAAACAAAGGACATAAGGACATATGTACATAAATGGGAAAGAATATCAGAGACAATGGTGAGAAAGGAGGAAAGACACGGAACACCCTTAAACATTTGGTAAAAACAGATACAATAAGTATAAAGCTATAGAAATCAAAGCAAGACTTTTCAAATTAAAAACTGAATAATCTCTTGAAGATGATTAATTTCTTTCGAGTTAATCACACACAATCATGGCTATGCCTCCTCCCTCCCTTCCTGCCTCCCTCCCTCCCTCTCTCCCTCCATCTCTGTAACCAATCTGTAACCACACTTGACTGCAGCTCTTGCAGCAACGCACCACCATAAACCTCCAGCTCTTCTCTGTCAAAATGCCAGACTCTAACGAAGCTATGCCAGCGCCGTGCCAGGTTATCAAAGAGGACGTTAACAAATGGTGAGTTATGGACAGGAATGATGTATAATAATTATACATGCTAAAAATGGTAATTATACAAATATCAGTGTCAGTGTGGTGGTCTTTGGTGAGTGTAAAGTGTCAGTGCAGAGTGTCTGCGTATAACTTTGCGCCCTCAAGGATGATTTGTTAACTGTGTTTGGGTTCCAACTAACTACTGGTCACTTTCCATTACAACTCTGTGTCCATTCTCAGTCATCATAACTGACCACTAGGCGGGACATCAAATGCATTCATATTCATTTTTGGGGCTCAACATGTAAGTCTTGTTCACAACTTTCAGTGAATCCACTTAACATCACAGCACTCAGTGTAGTGACATTTACAGAGAGCTCTGACAGTAACGTACATGTCTTGAGAAGCACAAATACACCTGAGGTTAAAATAGACTTCCACATGTATGACCTATTGCAGAGCAGCGGCACATTCCAAGCTGTTGGTTCGTGTTACATGAAGAAGCGACAGACGAGTCCACGTGCAGCTGTGATTAGTGTTTGTGGAGCGGCTGCACAGATTACACAATCTTCTTCTCGTACTTCAACAAATGCAGATAAAAGCAGCTGTGGGGGTTTGAAATACTTTATTATCAGGCTATACTGTAATAATCATTTTGATGCACACTTAGACTGAATTTAGAGATATTACTTGTATCCTCCACACTCAGTCATTTGACCTCTAATGTGTATTTATTTTACGTGTCACATTTTACAATTTTAGAGGAAACCTTGTAATATGCCAAAGAGGATAACGCAGCTACACGTGCAGTGAGTGGTAAGTGTGTTTTGTAAATCCAGCTTTGTGTTTCAGTGTCAGAGAGAAGGGAGCGGAAAGCTGTAAAGATCTGATAGATGCCTTACAGGCCTGTATAAAAACCCTGTCTGAGGGATCATGATACATAAGGAAGTATACCTTAATAAAATGTAAGTTCACACAAATGTAAAAAAAACTAAATAGAAAACAAGTATTGTACATCTCAAGAACTAAACCTGGAAAAGAAAAATGGATGTTGAAATGACAAATGGATATTGTGAGATGGGAATTTGAAAATGATAAGTAAGCTGTTCCATTCATAATAAATACGTAACTGACTTTATGAAGGATTGTTTGATCATTTGTTTACCATGTAATATTTCGTATATACATAGAAACTATAGACTGTCTGTACCTTCGGGGGCCAAATGGTATTATGTTCGATGATTTGAATCACATATTTGGTCACATATTCTACGTATGCTATTGCAAATTCACAACATTTACCATTTTCTTTCTTTTTCAATCACAGCCTTCACTTCATCAAACCCTTCTCCACTCTCCCAGCATTCCTTTCCTTGCTTATTGCGTTGGACCGAACCATCTGAAAATCTGAAGAGGGGGGTGATGATGCTGAGCATCTGATGCTACTATCGATGTAAACATTTTTACATAAATGTTGCAACTCCATTATCGACTCTGATTACCTATGCACTGGAACATATTTATGCACAAAAATACAACAAAATAAATACAACAATAAATATGAAGCTTTTCCATTAACCAAACACATGTGTTTTTTTTTCTTGAGAATCACAGATGTTATTATATCAGCCAGTTCTGTTGCATTCCCAAACTCTTAGATGTACTGCCTGTTGAATTATCTCCCCTGGCCAGGCTCAGGCTTCTATGTGGAATATACTCTTAATGGATTTAAGAACAGTTTGTTAATCTCTGCTTAATCCTCACATTAGTTCCTGCACTGAGCAGTCTAATATCACTTTTCACAGTCGGAGCTCTTTTAATGAGTGTGGGGCTTGAACGCACAAAGAGCAGACTGGAGAAAGGACATGGAAGAGACGTTTTTCCAGAGTTCCTTGTTTTCAGTAGACCGGAGCAAAAGGTTTTTAGGAACCAGAGGGTTTCACTCACAAGCTGTATGTTACAGTACAACCTCCCATGTCATTGTAGAGGAACGAGTGGTTCAGGATCAAGCTCTGGAGAGACTGAATTCACTTGAATGAGCACAGTTAGTTGTTGACATTCAATTGTGAAAGAAAACATAGGTATAGTGGGTGGGTATACATGAATGTTTTTAGATGTATGGAAAGGCAAAGTTCATTCTGTCCTCAAAACAGACGTTTTGTCCTATACAAAGCGTGATTCTTCCAATGTATCCGTCATAAATGTAGACTTGTTTGTTATTGTCCTTCAAGGGATGTAGACTTCATCCTTTACGACCCTGATTTAGGCCTCCTTATTTTCTATTGCACTGACGTACTTTGATCCCAAAGGACTACATATGTCTCGTCAGAATGACCCAGAGAACGGTAGGATGAGTATGTGTCCTGTTCTATTTCTGCTCCGTGGTTGGAGACAAATCCTTCTGGCTGCGTGTAAATCAACCAGATAGGAGCAGATGAAGATGGGCTTTGGGGAATTATCCGCCCACACACAACATTTCAAAATGAGATTTTAGAGATTTTTCAAGGCACTTTACAGATACATTCAAATGTCCTACTTACCCTTTTTTTAAAATATAAAACTGTCATGCCTGCATGATTCATTTAAGACAACACCTAACACTTGTCTTTCAGTTTCCTTTGTGCTCATCAGAAAATGTTTTTTTTGCTTTTTCTACTGTTACATGTCTTCAGGGATAACAGCCCAGAAGACATTAAAAAACAATGTTTAATGTGGAAATAATTCAAATTTTAAACAAAATGTATTTGTAGCTATTAAAAGTTACTTTGAACATTAAGGTTTTACATTCAGCTCAAACATATGGTCATCTTAAAAAATATGATTGAACTACTCAAAACAAAAAAACGCTCACAACATTGATCATTGAACAACATACTTTTATTTTTACATTTGTACATTTTGCTGTCAATACATCTGTACTTGAGTAATATGATTATGAATGCAGGAGTTTTACTTGTAATGGGTTAATAATGCCAGAATCCTCTGTTTCAGGTAAGTGTCCTGCATAACAGCAATTAAAAGTAGCATTACTAGTACAATGTGTTTATGCACAATGCTTTCTTTTACAGTGTTATATTTATCATAATTATATCTTTGTTTCATGAATGCATAAGACATATTCGATCTGTAACAATGCATTACATTCTATAAATTATATTCAATTAAAAACACCACCCGTGGGACACGAGTGCAAGGCCGGATCAGGGCCACAGCACTCCGGCATCCGGCGATGTTTACAAAGGTCTTACATAATAACAGCGAGGGAGGTGTCCGCAACAATGCATGGGGGCCCACAGTGTGGCCACGGTGCTGAGGTGAATGCAGAGATAAGCGTATTTTGAGGAAGATGATCAGCAGGAGGGCGGGGGAGGAGAGGCGAGAGGAGAGTGGATGGAGAGGGAGAGGGACCCGGATGCTGATGCGAGTGAGACGAAGGAAGGAAGAGGAGAGAGAAAATATCGATTTACGGCAAGAAAGCCGAAGGGAGTATAATACAGGGGGCCTTTACCCTGCGTGAACTATTATCAAAAGCGACGAGGGGGAATAACACAGTCGATGATAGTGCGGGTTGATCTGCGGATATCTGTGTTTTTCTACCTGTGCATCCGCCGGTGAGGGAGGAGGACACGCCAAAGGAGAGAGGAGAAGATGCTGTGATCCGCTATACTTGCAGTGATGTAGAGAGGGGGGAGACGGGGAGGGAGAGAGACAGGGAGGGGGAGGACTTCGCTAAAGATGGTTGTTTTGTTAAGAATACGCGTTTCACCTCGAGATATTGCGAGAGTGCGGCGGCTGTCTGATAAATCTAACCGTTTGGCGATGCCCGGAAACTTCAGGAGGTGTCGGTTTTTTTGACAGGCGGCGCGAGCGAGACGGCCGTTGGTCCAGGCGTTGAAGCTAAAGCTAGCCTCGCTGCTGTGTGGGAGAGCGGCGGCGAGGCTAAAATAGCACGTTATTGCACCTGTAAAACAGGCCCAACACAGAGAATAAAACGGATTTAATCATCAGTGCTAACATTTAATTGACCTATTTGACGTTTTGTCATTGGCCTCAACCAGCAAAGGATATAAATCTGCGCGTCAGACGTGAAACAGCTTGGCTGTTTTAAGGCTAATAACGGCATAACGTTTAGGTTTACTCTGCGATATTTTTCTTATTAACCGTCATTTAAAATTAATGTGATACATGTACGTTGTTCATATAAGCTAATGTACAGGAGTGAACTCTTTAGTTTGCCTACCTTGTTTATCTTTAGGGTATTGGTCAGTATTTAACGCATAAGAACTTAATGCCATCTCAGTTTCTCTGCTTCTATCAGCCACTAGCAAGCTGTTTTTTTTGGTAAATATCAACGTTGTACATGTTTACTGTGCTTTTAATCAAAAACGCAGAACTATCTAGCTTTGTGTGTTAACCAGGTTTAGATGAAGAATGCTAATTTATCATCCAGATGTAGTAAATCAGCACCAGTTTGACTTTTGCATTTTTCACGTGTTCACCCTGTAACCTCAGGGTTGCATTGTTATCACTCAAATAAAAGGTAGTCCTTCAATACCTGTATACGCTGTATAATATCACAGTGATTGCAATAACCACTGTGCAGTAGTAGTAGTAGTGTGTTAGCCTCCAGAAAGAGCAGTATGAGTAAGGAACTGTCTCTAAGTCAGTCAGCTCAGTATGTTGGGCCCTACCGACTGGAGAAAACACTGGGGAAGGGACAGACAGGTGAGTGCAACAAACTATTTTAAACTGCTATTTCGTGTAGAAATATACACTATAGATGAGGCCTCTTTCATGCCCATCTGTCTCTTATTTTTGTCTCTCTACACCTCTCTCATTGTGTTTTTCAGGACTGGTCAAGCTCGGGGTCCATTGCATTACGGCTCAGAAGGTAGCGGTCAAAATAGTCAACAGAGAGAAGCTGTCTGAGTCAGTACTGATGAAGGTACAGTGTGACGCTGTTGAGGTCGTCGCAGTGACGATAATGCAAATTTTTGTTTATAATTAGATGTTTTATGCAATACACAAAAACTCCTCCATATTATCTATATTTGACTTCTGTATTAATTTAGAAATTAACCTCTGTTCTGTTGCTGCAAAGATGACATACTTGGCTTGTGTTCTCTGCTTTAGTATCTTCATCTCTTTTTCTTCACATCTGTCTCCTGTCTCTAACCAGGTTGAGAGGGAGATTGCCATTCTGAAACTGATTGAGCATCCGCATGTGTTGAAGCTGCATGATGTTTACGAGAATAGCAAATACCTGTGAGTCCCCTCTGCATTCAAAAGAGCCTCACACCTGGCCTCAGTGCAGTCTGCATGCTTCTTTTCTTGTTGTGAATGCTGAACATTGGAGCAGGATGGGTATAAATATTACTCTAACAACTCTATTAATCTGCTCTCATCACTCTAATTCAAATTTTTCCTTCATCTCCCACAATTATTCTGGAAAGTTTTTGATCTATCTTGAGAAAAATATTATGTTCCTAGAATCCAACATCATACATTGTTGATATCTTACAGTTTAATATCGAATGAGGTTAGATTTTTTGTTTCTGTCCCGTAGAGATGAACGTTTTAAATCACACTGTTGTCCCTGTATGTCGGCAGGTACCTGGTGCTGGAGCATGTGTCAGGAGGAGAGTTGTTTGACTACCTGGTGAAGAAGGGCCGGCTGACTCCGAAAGAGGCCAGGAAGTTCTTCAGGCAGATCATCTCTGCTTTGGATTTCTGCCACAGTCATTCCATCTGGTTGGTTTCTGCAGAGAGCAGTGGTATCTTAAATTAACCTCTTTAAACAACGAGGAATCGATGCCAATTTGATGAGTCATGGCAGAATAATTCAGAAGCTGCCTCAGTCAGTGACATGAAAAAAGCATCTGAAACTTTCCTCTTTTATACTGAATTGATGTCTGCAGGCATTTAGCATCCTTAAATACATTTTTGTGACAGCGGATCAAGTAGTAAAGTTGTGGAAAAACTTGTGATTGTGTTGCATGAACCAATATTAAAGGCTCTTTATCAAACCCCTGCAGTCATAGTTAAGATAAAATGCCATAATCAGCACTAATAGACTAATATATAGTATCTGTTGTGTTCTTGCAGTCACAGAGACCTGAAGCCTGAGAACTTGCTCCTGGATGAAAAGAACAACATCCGGATTGCTGACTTTGGCATGGCCTCCCTACAGGTGGGAGACAGTTTGTTAGAGACCAGCTGTGGGTGAGTACCAGCTCTGTATAATAATGTGTACACACATTATAAAAAAGGGTCATATTTTGTATTTCAGGATTAATGTCAATCCATGCATATTACATAATGTAACGATAAAGAGTAGAGTAGTTGTCACAGAAGCTAAAGGCTTTATACAGCTTTAGTTCTACTGTTATTAGTGTTACTGCAAATTATTCTAGAATTGTAAGCATAGAAATGTTGTTTGTAACATATGTCTTTCATTTTAGATCACCACATTATGCTTGCCCTGAAGTTATACGCGTAAGTGTTCCTCACATTTTGGTACCTGTAATATAAATGAGCAAATTATGTAAATATATTATCCAAACACTGAACAAAAAGACATCACTGACCGTTTCAAAGTCATAACAAATAATTGAACTAGTCTTAATGGAATATATAGTCTGTCACTTGTTGTAAAGAAGACTCATCTTTACTCAGAGATATTCTTGAAGGCACTCAGCATACAAGAATAGTTCTATCAATAAAAAGATGGTTTAACTGTATTCTGGATTATTATGGATTACAGTGTGTTTCTTTTGACTGAGATTTCATGGACAAGCCTTCAATGTAATCGATCGATAGTCAGTGTGGAACTGATGTGGATTCTGTCTTTGGCAGGGGGAGAAATATGATGGGCGGAGAGCAGATGTGTGGAGCTGTGGGGTCATCCTGTTTGCTCTACTGGTGGTAGGTCTTTCACTTTCACAGTTCAGTTTGGTCCTTTTGTAAAAAAAGCCCCTCATTTGTTTGCAGTCTTAACTTACTTTTCCCTTTTCAAGTCAAGTTTATTTGATCACATCTGATCTGTTTTCCCTCCTTACCTCTCCTTACCTCTCCTTTTCTCTCCTACAGGGTGCCCTGCCCTTTGACCATGACAATTTACGGCAGCTCCTGGAGAAGGTGAAGAGCGGGGTGTTCCACATGCCCCACTTCATCCCGCCGGACTGCCAGTCCTTGCTCAAGGGCATGATTGAAGTCAACCCTGAAAAGAGGCTCACGGTACGAGACTCTGCTCACACCAGGCTCATCCACCGGGGGTCTGAATGCTGCTTAAACACCTGGGATTTAGTCCGAGTTACACCTGAGTTCAATTGTGGGATTGCCTTTCATTCCTTCCTTTTGAATACATTGGAATTAAAAAGAGCAGCGTCATTGGACCGCAGTCATTAATATGAATCATATTTAGATTTCTTTACTTGTGTCCTTTGCAGCTGGATCTGTGCTCTCGCATTTTGTTTATCATAGATGACATGGATTAGAGACACAGCTGCATTTAAATTGGGTGATTGCATCATCGGCGTGTTTGAGGCACAGGATCAAAGGCATCAGAAATCAGCCCGACGCATGCAAATTGTGATTTTTTAATGTAAAATATTCAGAACTGATGAGGTGGTTTGTGCATGCAAGAAAAGTATCTGGTGTGAAGTGTTTACACAGCAAAGCTCTGTGGCCATCTGGCTGTTAACAGACTGCCCTGTCACCCTTTACAGCTAGAGGCCATCCAGAAACATGCCTGGTACCTGTGAGTGTAACTTCATTTTTACATACTTGATCGTCGAGTGAAATACTAATTTAAAGCGTGGTCATATTTAATCACAGACACTATATCTGTGTCATTCACGTGTTTCATTGTGTGTGTTATGTGTGTGTGTGTGTGGTTCCCAGGGGTGGTCGTAATGAGCCGTGTCCAGAGCAGCCTCCTCCCAGGCGAGTGTTTGTGAGGCAAATCTCGTCCCTGACTGAGCTGGACCCAGATGTGTTGGACAGCATGCACTCGCTGGGTTGTTTCCGAGACCGAGGCAAGCTCACGCGTGATTTGCAGTGTGAAGAGTAAGTATTTTTTCAACCCCTGACACGTCTATGTTTCACAGTGCACGATTGTACGCTGAGTGAACAGGAAAATGTAAACACCATGTAATACAACCACTACTGCCTTTCTTAAGAATGGACAGATATGTGGCTATGGTATGATTTAAAAACAGTATTATATTAAAAGACTATATCACTTACATACATGTAGGAGCAAAACAAATAAGTATTTATACATTTATACATACACAATACAGTACATTGGACACTTAGTTGTTACATTATTCTAGTCATGCAGCCATGTACTTTTATGCTTTTTTTATTGACCCCTGTGTATTGTGGGCAGACATTTGGAGTGCTGTCTGAAAGCAGAGAGGGAATATGGTTTCCTCTTCATCATGCGATGTGAAACTCCTGTTCTGAGTCAGGATGACTAACTCACCACAGGGTTAAAGCATGCAAGATGGGGGATCGACCAGAAGCCTCACCAATATCAAAGTCATGGTGCCGTCAGGTGCTCCTTGTCACAACAAAGTGATATTGAGGGCTTCAAATGACGCGCAGGGTGTTGTTATGATGTATTCAGTCGAGGACTGCAGCCTTTGGAGGATCCAGCCCCTGAACACACCTTAGTAGGGAACATAGCATGAGCAGGAGTAAGTATGTGGCCACATGTTTTTAGATGCCCAGTTGACAATTCTCTCCAGTCTGTTCCAGTAAATATATGTTTGAGTGCAGAGCAGTCAATAAAAACATCATCAATTATGTGGTCACTTGCTACAACCTGCTCATGTTTTCTACACAGACCTTATAGCAGTGATACCTACTATTATCACATATTGCTCATTTCAACATTATTATTTCCCATCTTCTTCCTCTCTCTCTCTCTCTCTCTCTCTCTCTCTCTCTCTCTCTCTCTCTCTCTCTCTTTCAGAGAAAACCAGGAGAAGATGATCTATTACCTGCTGCTGGACAGGAAAGAGCGCTACCCCAGCTATGAGGATGAGGATTTGCCACCGCGCAATGACGTAGGTCAGTCACTAGGGGGCAGGATTGAACCACTCAAGGGAGGGAGCTGCTTTTCTCAGCCAGTTTCTGTGAAGCAGTTCTACAGTATGTGAGTCTGGTGCCATACACAGGTACTCATTACCCCTGCCAATGAATTTGGGATTATTTTAAGATTATTTATTACATTTTGAATGAAATAGTTTGCACTGATAGCTGTGAGCCTATTAATCAGTCATTGTGATCTCCACCATTAGCAATAAAACACGAAGCAATATGGAAAAAAGAAAGACTAAGCCCTCTTGTTGCCTCTAGTTTTGTTTTTTAAATTATTTTATGGTGGAATTTTATGGAACTATGTGTCACATTTTACTTCCTATAAGTCGTAATTGTGTTTTAATAATCGAGCCAGACTTTGCAGGACATCTGCAAGATTCCTCTATGTGAGAAAACTGGAAGAAGGCAGCTATGTGTATGTGTATGTGTATGTGTATGTGTAAATAATCACATTTATCACAGTCACAGATGGTGCAGCGAGCTAAAGGCCCGTGGAAAAAATCTCTTTCAGCATAATCATAGTTTTTAGTTCTGCAAAAGAGAAAATACATGCATAGTGACAGAGTGACATCAGGGAGTGGGGAGGATGAAGATGATCATTTCATGATGGCATGTTGCACAACATATCATGTAATTTTAGAAACACTGTGTCTTTAACATAAGCTTTAATTAAACTGCTAATTGACATTGGTTAATCGTGTCATAACTTTATGATGGTGTTCCACAGCAGACCCTCCTCGAAAGCGAGTGGACTCTCCGATGCTGACGCGCCACGGCCGCTGTCGCCCTGAGAGGAAAAGCCTGGAGGTGCTGAGTGTTACCGAACAGGGGTCTCCTACCCCGCCTCGCAGGGCCCTGGACACAGCTGCACACAGCCAGAGGTACAGTACTCACACATACACAGTACACACACTCTAAATGTTGCACACCAAGAAGGCCCACAGTTTCTTGGTGGTTACACTCTGTCGTTGTTGAAGATCTTTTGACCTCCGGTCTCTTCGTCAGGTCTCGCTCAGTCAGCGGAGCCTCAACCGGTCTCTCCTCCAGCCCTCTCAGCAGCCCCCGGGTAAGGGCCTGTTGGCCAACTTTTAACAAACTGTACAGCTAACTGTTGCTGCTGCTTTGATTACCTGCACTTTGAACATGATAACTACTTGCCAAAAGCCCCAGATCAGAGAGAAATTGGTGTTGGCTCGGGGAAACCTGGGGTAACAATAGGAACTTCACTTTCATTTTTGACAAAACGTAGTTTGGAGACCAGACATACTCAAGGGGGGGGGGGGGGGGCCTCTCAGTGAAAGATCTCGTAACGTGTGACCCACTGTCGCCTGTCAGTCATGTTGTGTGTAAACCACGACGACTTCAAGTCTCTCAATCGCAAGACAGCAAAGTGTGAAGTGTGAACAGCACAGCGATCTGACGACTTTAAAAGTCTCGTAGTGTGAACTCAGATTACAGAAGTTCCTCTTTGTGTTACTATCCTACTGCTGCGGCTCAGCAACACAACGCTGTCCAGGAATCTGCATATTAGCTTGAGATAAGCTTTAGGAAGCACATTTACATTGAGTTAACACGTGTTTCGCTGATTACTTGTCATTTTGAATGTTTTACTAATTACATTGTTAACTTATCAATAAAGCTGTGATTACTTAAGCAACTGTTTTTTCGCTGGTATCGCCCACCCCGGCATTAAACTGCTTTAAAAAATGTAATCAGCTCCTCAGCCATTCTGACACATCATCACAACACCAGCTCCCCACATTTAATCTCACGGGAGATTTGTGTGGCATTTTCCACTTCATGTCACTTCTCTTCCTCACCATGCATGCACTAGTTGTAAATACAATTGTTAAGAATATAACATATTACCTTTAAATTGGATGATTTATTTTGGTTTATGTGATCATTTGCTTTTCTGGTTTGCTCATGTTCTAAACTGCATTGAAACACTTAATAGATGGTAAATTAATTACATAATCAACCGTAACTTACCAGCAATCGCTGAACAGTAACACCTTCACTGCCACTGTCCTTTGTCACTGCATTTTTAACCCTGTCACGACCACAACTGTCACTAAACCTTCACTCACATAAGATACAAATGGCACAAAAGACCAAAGGGCCAAAATGAAAGTTTTTATAGGCACTTTGTAGGATTGCATTTGACACTTTCACGACTCACAAGATGCACTCTTTTGTCATAAAGCATGATATTCATTTCCATCCTTTCTCCATCTTCCATCCCCTCTCTTTCTTATTATCCATCCCTCCCACCCCACAAACCCCACTCCCCAGTCCTATCAAAGCCCCGTCTTCACTTTCAGCCAATCAGACGTCACCTCTGCCACCGCCACCCTCCTCACAAAGGAGCCCAAACAGGGAAACGCCACCACTCCTCGCTCAGCACGGGCTCATGACAAGCCCAAAGCTCCCCCCAACCCAAAGACCCAGACCCTGCCCACCAAGGGACCGGCAGACCGACCCCATCTGCAGCCCATCAAGTCCCTGCCTCTGCACAACCCATCCTCCCGCTCACCCTCCCCTTCTCCGCTCCTGTCACCCATCCCTCGTTTCTTCTTCCCCTCGTCCTCTGTCCTTAAGTCCGTGACTAAGAGCTTCTACCCAAACTCTGCCCACTGTGTGCCGCAGGTCACTCCCCAGGGTTCTCCGTTGCCCACACCCTTGGGCACCCCTGTCCACCACCCTCACCACCCCTCCTCCACCCCGCCCTCCTCCTCCTCGTCCTCATCCTCCTCGCGGGCGGAGGGAGGGGGAGGGGTGGGCTCACTGTCCCTCACCCCACCCTCCAGCCCAGGAGGGGGAAGCGGCATGGCGGCCAGCAGCTCTGCCCACTGGAGGACTCGCCTCAATTCTTTCAAGAACAACCTGCTGGGCTCCCCCCGCTTCCATCGCCGCAAACTGCAAGGTGAGGTTTAGAGTTTGCCTCAATATTCTGTGGGCGTCGGTATCTGCACGGGTATGGAACATACTGAAGTAGCTCATCAGTTTCAAAAAGTTTCCTCAGTTTTAACACTTTTAAAACATGACTTTTCTTTTTCAGCATGCCGTATTCCAGACCTCTATGAATGGATTGTATCTCAATTCTTTGTGTCCTCTGGCTTCTAGCTAAAGATCTAATATTGCACACAAATTTTAATTTTAATATGAGTTGTGTCTTTCAGTTCCTACATCAGAAGACATGTCCAGTCTAACACCAGAATCCAGCCCTGAGTAAGTCACACTCCTTGAGATAAATGAATGAGGAAGGAATAAATGAGGAGCTGAGGTGTCGCTTGTTTTCACTCAATAAAGCTGTGTGTGTGTGTGTGTTCTCTTGGATGTTCTCTATGGCTCCGTGTATCTGCTCCTACTGTATATTTTTTTTTTGTCTGGCTACCAGGCTGGCTAAGAAGTCGTGGTTTGGGAACTTCATCGGCTTGGAGAAAGAGGAGCAGATCTTTGTGGTGATCAGAGACAAACCTCTGAGTTCTGTCAAAGCCGACATTGTCCACGCGTTCCTGTCTGTGAGTATCTGATGCGGTCTTTCACGCCTCTCACTATCAAAGCTTGTTTGTAGAAAGCGTGGCTCTCACTGGCAAAGCTGTACAGACTTCACACGCACTCTCATACTGTACGCACATCATTTCTTTCATTGTTTCTGCTTTCTCTTTATTTCAATCGTGCTCACTCGTGGCACGTTGATAGATCACTTTGCTTTCACCAATGGCTCACTCTTTCCCTCCTCTCCTCACCCTCACCCTCACCCTTTGTCTCCCTATACTCACGTTTGCCCCCGAACCTCTCCCGCCTCGTAAGTCTGTCGGTCTCTCTGCTTCTTCTCTGTCTCCCTACCAAACAGATCCCGTCACTCAGTCACAGCGTTCTCTCTCAGACCAGCTTTCGGGCCGAATACAAGTCCTCCGGCGGCCCCTCCGTCTTCCAGAAGCCCGTCAAGTTCCAGGTGGACATCGCTTTCTCCGAAGGCGAGAGGGAGCGCGACCGGGAGAGGACCGAGAGGGAGGGCAGGAGGGAGACGGGAATCTACAGCGTGACGTTCACCCTCATTTCAGGCAAGAGGAGCGGACACAATATGGGCCTGAGTTAAACTTCACAACTATTTACATTTTGGAAGTAGTTTTGTTTGTAGCAACTTCAAATATAAGTTTGGAAAGTACGCTTAATTGCTTTTTGGTGGAGAGTTATATGAGAGGATCCATACCGATAGTTATGTACCGTTGAACAGAGCCAGGCAATCTGTTTCATCCTGTTTCCTGTCTTTATGCTAAGCTAACAGGCTGCTGGCTTTATATATAGAGTTGTAACAATTTTCTTATCTAACTCAGTGCCAGAAAGCGAATATTTCTTAAAATGTCGAACTATTCCTTTATATAAAAAAAGAAACTGGCTCTGAATGCTTGGTTTAAATCCTTAGTCTAGTTTACTAATTCTGTGATTCAGAGTTTTCCTGAATGAAATCATAATTTTGTTACTGAACCTCAAGTATCCTATTGTGTCGCCTTGGTGTGTCTCCAGGTCCGAGTCGCAGGTTCAGACGAGTGGTGGAAACAATTCAAGCCCAGCTTCTCAGCTCCCATGATCAACCCATGGTGCAAGCCCTATCTGGTGAGACTGCTGAAACACACTTGTAGCACCCAGCAGAGTAAATATACAACATTGTTCTCCTGTACATACAGGAGTAGCCTTATTTAATGATGAGACTATTAGCTTTTATGTGTATTGTGCATATTTGTTCTGAAATGGTTCTAACCACATGACTTATCTGTAAGTATTTACAGATTTACAGCTGTTTACAATACAATACTCTGTTTGTTTTGCTAAGAATGCCCTGGGGGTCATAGGCTCCCATCACCTGCTGTGGAACGGTAGTGTCCGCTTCCGACTGTTTGTCACTTGAACATCTAACTTTCAGGCTCACCCCCGACTGTTGTAATCACAGCTGCATCTCATTTCCATGCGCTGTATACGTCGGGAGTGACTTTCCTGTTCTCCTCTGCTGATCCCTTCCCAGATGAGAAGAACGGCCGGCCCCACGGGACCCCCACCCGCCAAAACTCGAGGCGCTCCGAGGGTGGGGGCGACAGGTGCGAGTGGGGCGACCGAGCAGATGGCGGAAGCATAGGCGGCAGCGGGGGAGTTCTGCAGCGCAGAGGCTCGGCGAAAGAGAGAACCCGACTGCTGTCCTCCAATGGAACCCAATCCCAACCGTAGGATAGAAAGTGAGACGGCGCAGCAGGATGCCTGAACTACACCGGAGAGAAGACAGCGTAACGTCATCTCCAAGTATCTCTGCGAGCCATGAGCTACTCCTATTCTTCCTTGACTAAGTTATTGAAGGTTTCTTGACCAGAAAGGATTGAGCCTTTTCCCCGTCATGCTTTTTTTTCTTCTTTTTTCTTCCCAACTCGAGATTCTTTTGATCTTCTGGATCACCAGGATTCCTACCTTTTAAATGAGAACCAAGTGTTAAGGAATCACCCTTTAATGAAAACAAAAATTATATGAATGAGCAGTTTGCTATCCATCATAGATACAGCTTCACAGATCAAACTAGGAACTTTTGAAGTGCTAATGTGCATGCCAGTTAGCAAATCAGCCTGCTAAAGGATGCTGAAATGATCAGATAGGCTAGTCTACCATATCATTGTAACACAGTATCTGACACCAAAAATAATTAACAAGGCTTATGATGGTTCTCAAGATTACTCTGAAAATTAACCAGTGCACTCATATCATCATCAAGCAACATGCAATTACCAATCCATCCTGAAAGAAATGTAGATGTGTCTCAGCAGATGAACCCTAAGAGTTAGCAACATGAACAAACGGTCCTGATTTTCTCAGGAGAAACTACATCCTAGAATTCCAGCAGTGTCTTCTCCTGAGGTAAAGAAAACCAACAAAGTAAGCTAAAGTAAGTGAATGTGAAAGAAAAAGAAGAATATTTTTTTATTTAGTTTGTATCTATTGTTTACATATTTCTTTGGAGGATGTCAGTAGCATAGTAGTGATAACAGAGAAGGCGGTAACTGAAAATACTCGTCGCAGAGGGAAAGCTGACCAGTTGCTTTTTTTTAAAAGGCATTCGTTTAGAGTTAAATGTTTTTATTCTTTTGTATTTTCTTTTTACTCAGAGACAATATTAAACAATGCATTTAGGATTTTTTTTTCCCGCATTGGACCCCTGTTGCTCTGGAGAAAAGTATTTTTGATTTGAACAGAAATATAAACATAATTATATGAAGATAAAAAACACTATGCGTGAATAGTTCCATGAAACTCATCACAGCTGTTTGTGCCCAGATTGGATGAGAAGAGCATTCCTGGCCTGTGGATCAAACAGAAGCCACCTTTCTTGTCGAGCTTGTCTCCTATTGCCATAGTATTCATGTACTGACTCGGAACAAAACAACAAACAACAAACAAAAAAAAAAGGAAATTCATCAATGGACATTTTCGAAATGCCGGACTTAAAAGTTTTGCGATGTCGATTCCTTGTTGAACCAGGACTTCAAAAATGGGAAGCAAGCGAAGAGTCTCCTAACCCCATGCTCCCAACGTCAGTGTTCACCAACAAGCCAAGTAGTCCATCGCTGCACTCACGCTCGTCACCAGAGAGTCGCACCATTCTGCAAGCAGACGTAGCAACTCGGGACAGTCACGTATTACTCCAGCGCTCTGTCAGACTAGTCGATGTTTTTCACCAGTCTTCCATACAGCACAATATGCAACACAAGTGCAGAAGGTTTTCAGAGGGATACACAGTGCTACAGTTATGTTTATTTTAATTGTCACCTATCCATCTATTTATTTATTTATTTGTGTATTTTTTTGTGGTTGCTAGTGCCATGTATTCATTTACAAACAACAAAAATATATCGAGAGCTATTTCGAGTTATATTTAATTTCTCATTGTCACTTTTTTTTTTTTTTGAGTGCTTGTTCCCCAAGAAGAAGAAGGACTTCGATAGCAGGACTGACATGTTGCTCTCACCCGACTTCTCCGATGATCTTTGTTTATACCTCACATGTCTTTTATCGCACTTATCTCTGAGAACTGGAACGTGTGTGTGAGACGGGTGGATGATGACTGAGTGCGCTGAAAACTTTGCAGCAGATGCATTTTGAGCTGATCACGTGCAGAGATTTGGCCTGACCCAGGAATATTACATCCACTAACAAAGCCAACAGGCGCATCATTTCTCTCACGCACATTAAATGCTTGCTAATTCGCCTCATCTCTTGGTTTCACGCCGTGCCCCTTCGCCCTGTCTGTTTGCCTCTTCACCCGTTGTGTAGCCATCGTCACAAGAGGAACTGTACAAAGTTGTTTGCCACACCGTCCGTATGCACTCTTTGATTGCTCACCATCACCATTTTCATCTCTCTCATCACTGCATCACCTTCACTTTCATTGACCCAACTCTGGCTAAGATTGTAAACTATTCTCCATTCATAAGGGTCAGTAGAATAAGGTGTTTAAAAAAAAAGAAATGTCTGTATCATAATTTAAATATAAAAAGTGCACTATTATAACTATTGCCTGTGATAAAAAGAACAATTATGATTGAATTGATGGTCAAAATAAAGAGAGATCCACCTTATTGTTATGGTTACAATAATAAACCCTAAATTCATGTGTGTGTCTATTTAGTTTCTGGGTTTAAATGGTGTCCGTTCATTGTGCACGGCTGTTTCTTTTGTCTTGCACTAATGTCGAAAAAGTTAAAAAGATAATTTTACCATCTGGATGAAATCGTTCTACTTAGTATCTGTTATAATATTAAATACTATAATAATCACAACTGGTCTTATGCTCAAACAAGATAAAAGTGAGAAAAAACGTTACTTACTAGCTTCTCCTGGAGCTATCAATCCCATCTTATAGTTTTCTATGGAAAATTATCATTTTTCAGAGCTTTCAACAAACAGATCAATGGTTTACTATAACATATGACTGTTAGAAATGGTCGAAAGAAGAAAGAAAACACATCTGGAAATAAAAGATTAGGTCAGGACTACACATGTGTAAGGATAGTTTATCAAAGTAATAGTGTCCCTGGCGTTCATCATCTCCGTATCGAATATAAAAATGTATTCATTCAAGAATTGTATTCAAAACATACGACAGTCACACGTTAAATCACTGTAATTCATCTTACATATTTTGTCAAATAAACACAGTAATTCATCTTACATTTAAAGCCAAATAAATTCCGAGCCGGTGGACATAGTTGTTGACACAGGCTTCTCTCTGCCCTGAACGCAGCTCAGGCATCACACTACAAACCTGTCACTGCGTGATTGCGACATTTCCGACCGCATGTGAAGGCAGCATCAGCTCCATCCTGGAGGAGAGCATCCATAGTACAGCTGTGCAGAGGGCCGACACCACGTTGTCGTCGTCAGAAGTTATAACTGTCCTGCTACTCTGGACCCTCGGGAAATTTCGTAAACAACAACAACAACAGGTATGCTAACAGGGTTTGTGAAAATGACGTCGTGTGTTGCAATGGAGACACAAACAGTTTCCACGGACGTGAAGAAGTCCCACCAGCTCAAGCTAAAGGCTTGGGACGCTCGGCTAGCCAACACTAGCATAGCTCTCATCTAAATAGCTGCTGTAGTGAGATAACGTTAGTTAAAATGTCAGTTACCGTTATCTTGCCTCAATTGGTTTTCCTTAATGTTGAACATTAGTGTGGAGCTTTCAGCTATAACAATGTTACGAGCTTAATAACACATACTACGTACCTGATTAATAACACTGTTACTACTGCTTAATCACATTGTACTTGATGTTGAAGACCAAACAGGACGTTTCATGGTGGTATTGTTTTACTACTATATAAGTTAGCTCAGTATTAGCTAGCTTTTATAAACATTTCCCCCAATCTGTCTGCTGTTTAATTTGGGTTGGCTTGGCTGAAAGGTGTAGAGTGTCATCATGACTGTAGTTGTTGTTTATTGACTTTGGAAGTTGTCCTCCTTTTACATCATATTTGTTAGTCAACGATGCAGTGCAACACTATTTAGCTTCTTTATCTGTGTGTCTTGAATTATGTTTTTGCTTCTACAATGTGTGTGTGATAACAGAAATCTGATGATATTACATGTTCACTTGTTGCCATAATAGAGCCCAGTGTTGTCACATGCAGGTGTTTTACATCTGTTAGTTCCTTGTTGGGCAGACCTGCAGGCAAAGTTTAGTCAAGATAAGTTATGATAAGGCAGAGCAGACTCTTAACTTAACTAATCGGTTATTTACTCTTAACCTGGAACAGAAAAAACATACATAATCACCTTGATGAGACTAAAGTTGCAGTCAAACAATAGATGGAGGAATTCTAATAGGAAAATGACTGAAGGCCTTAGAGGTGTTAACCTTTCCCCTAGTTTATACAAACTGGCCCTGCCTCCCTCTGTCCTCTTCCTGCTCTGGACAAACTGTCCAATGTTGATCTACTTGCTTTCTGTCTGGCAGTTGTCCGACAATCAAAATGCGTTGTTGTTTAGTTGTTTAGTCTACATATCAAGCAAGTAATAAGTGCAGGGTCGTGCCAAACCTTTTTCTCCTTTTAAAAAAACCTTTAAATAAACTGTAATATACCTTTAAACAGACCTTACTATTCATAGCTCATTCCCCCTTATTAATTACTCAATTCAATTATATCTGTAGCCTAATCAAAAATATCATCGTTAAGCGGTATCATTGTCTGGCGGTCTTTTTTTATCGCCCGGCTTTAAAGAGTCGATGCTGAGGATTACGACGCTGTGAATGCAGACATTTTATCTGCCAGATCTGACCTACAACAACAAGAGCAGACGTGGCCTCCACAGGGGTGTAGTCCAGTATCAGTGTGACTCAACCTCAGGCCATTATCCATAGCCTATTTGTGGAGGAAAATCAATTCCGTAGGAAGAGAAGCAGTTATTGCAAAAGACAAATATACCCGATCACAGTCAGCGTATTCCCATCAAACTCTTATCTGTTTCAAGCTGACTTTGTATTTTAAAGGACTCATGAATAATGTGTCTCTTTTTGAGCTCCTCTTAAAAATGCTCATGCGTGAAATGGATGTGTTTTGGCGGGCATAAGCGTGCACATTTTGCAATTCACACACACACATTCCTTCCTTTTGCCTTTAGGTTGTTGTCTGCCTATTCACAGTTGAATAAAACATTTATTTTTCCTCTCTGTCCCTCTCATTGTGCACAGTCATCATGGCGGAGGCCCACCAGGCGGTGGCCTTCCAGTTCACGGTCACCCCGGATGGCATTGATCTTCATTTGTCACACCAGGCCTTCACGGAGATCTACCTCTCTGGCGTGCGCTCCTGGAAGAAGCGTATCATCGGACTCAAGGTATCTCAACTCTGGCTGTCACACCTGTTGTCTGGTTGGCTTGTTCACGCTCATCCCGTGTCTTTAACTCAAAAACAGTCCGTAACCACATATGTGGCTCTTCCTCATAGTTATTACAGCTCTTCCCCCTCTCTTCATGTCAGCACTTGCATCTGTGTCGGAGCTAAATGTTGAGGAATCTTTTAAGTATTCTGTTGTGTTGGCCTGTCTATATCATGGTTTCAGTGTCTTTCAGTGTCTTTGCTTTAAAGATTAAAGTGATGTTTAATGTGTAAGCTTTTCATACCAAGTCGGACACACACCTGCTGCAAAAGCCTTAAATTAACAGTTACATTCACAGTGATTTGTTGTGTAATTCTGTTTATGAATGCAGTAAAGACTTGAGCATCCACATGATGTGTATTGCTTTAATCATCATAATCAGTGTGCATGTCAGTGCAGCGACTGTAAACAGGAAGAATGGGATTTCAAATGTCTCCTCTCTCACATTAACAGAACAGCGTGATCACGGGGGTTTATCCTGCGAGTCCGTCCTCCTGGCTGTTCGTGGTCATAGCCATCCTGGCTACTATGTACACGCGCTCCGACCCCTCCATGGGACTCATAGCCAAGATACAGGAGCACCTGCCAGTCAGGTAACACCTCTCGTGACTCCAGGATAGTGTTAAAGATTCACCAATCAACCCCTGCAGACTCCAAATGTTCCCTTTCCCTGATTATACATTGTGTTATAGAGAGATGAGTGATACATATTAGAAAGGAGTCGTTTTCTTGTTCATTCGGTTATATGTTACACTCACTGCTCTCCCTCTGTTTGCAGCCAGTCTATGAGTAACCAGTGCCAGACGTTGGTGTCAGCAGTGCTCTTCAGCACCATGCTGTGGCTCCTGCTCATCTTCACCATGCGCCTGTGCCTCAAGCAGCTTCTCTCCTACCACCGCTGGATGTTTGAGAAGCACGGCAAGATGTCCACCACCACCAAAGTCTGGGTGGTCAGTATTGTCTCACACCTTTTTTTTGTTCTATTTGTTACTGTAAACAAACAATGCCCTTCATTGTCTTGAGTGGCAGTTTTTATGTCCTCTCATACTCACAAAATGTTGTGTGTTTTATGCTGCAAAGAAAACCCTGTTTACTGTTTCTACGCCAGGCGCTGGTGCGGATCTTCTCTGGCAGGAAGCCTCTGCTCTACAGCTACCAGGGTTCGCTGCCAAACCTGCCTGTGCCGGCCACCAAGGACACAGTCAAAAGGGTGAGACGTCACGCTGACCAGTGACCCCGGAACAGATGGATTGCTTTCGCACATTCATCATTTTCAACCAAATATAAAATGCATGCTATCATCCACCCTTCTAGATGGATCTATATCTGACAGATGAGAGGTGGTGTGGTTGTAATGGTAGAAGGCTTCCACATCACCAACCGTGGCCTTTAATAGATGTTAATTCATTGATTTACAATCCTTGTTCTATGTTTCTGTATTCAGTAGACTATGTAATCAATATTGGTCATTTTATATCTGCTCAATGCGTCTCCTTCTTCTTCTTCTTTGCGCATCTCTCTTGTTTAGCACTTGGAATCCGTGCGTCCGCTCATGGACGATACAGAGTACGAACGCATGACCAAGCTGTCAGCGGAGTTTGAGAGCAGCCTCGGTAAACGCCTGCAGTGGTACCTCAAACTCAAAGCCCTGTGGGCCACCAACTACGTAAGTGGTTGACCACAGCGAGTGTGGCTACTTCAGACATCACTCAAACGTCCAAAGCAAAGCAGGCCAGAGGACATTTTTAAATTCTATGAAAGATGTATGTCTTTGTAAGGTTCTGTGGTTTCAATTATTCATCCTGGCTGAATATGGAAGTGATGGAAGTGATGGAAGTGACTGCCGGTTGGCTCCAATATTAGCTCTCTCACAAAGAATGATTGTGTTTTAATTCTTCAGGTCAGTGACTGGTGGGAGGAATACGTCTATCTACGAGGGCGGAGCCCAATAATGGTCAACAGTAACTATTACGGCATGGTATGACAACAAATAGATTCCCAGTTTAACCTGCTGCAGTCATCATTAGGATCGACTCTGTTTGATGTTGGACCTTACAGGTTAATTTTTTCTATTTGACGGGCTTTGAGATATTTAAGGATTTGTTTGTCACGAGGAGAGAAAAATGATGGATACATAATTGTGTGTTTCTGCTTGTGAGAGTGCAGACTAAGACAGGTACTCTTGTTTTTACTTTTTTATTAATCCTGGAAAAGTGAACCTACAATGTATGTTCATCACGTTTATATGAATACAACTTCAAACACATGGCCTCTAAAAACTCAACTATTTCCTCAAGAATGTTCAATAAACAGTCCTTTGTTTTTTTTTTGATCAAGTAACTAAGAAGATCCCAGGCGTACCTTCGGATCCTCTGGTTTTGGATGACCCATGTTTATGCTGCTCCTGACTTCCTGTCTCTGTGCGTTCTCTCCCCAGGACTTCATGTATGTGACGCCCACACCCATCCAGGCGGCCCGGGCAGGCAACAGCCTTCACGCATACTTCCTATACCGCCGCAAACTCAACAAAGAAGAGCTTAAACCTGTGAGTTTCACACCAGTCCACCCCCCAGCTGCCCCAAATACACCGAGGCGTTCATAATTCATGCCTCTCTGCTATGGCAACAGAAGACTTCTACAGACACATTTGGATATTTCTTTATGGAACCTGATCATAATGATGACACCATCAGTACATGTTTTGATTGATTGATTTGCCGTTTGTGTGTCTTGCAAGTTTTTGGTAGATATCCTGTTCATCTCCGTTCATTTATTTTGTTTTCATGTTCCCTCACATTCTCATATGCTCATGTCTCACTCCTTCCTCTTCTACTCCTTTCATCCTGTCTCTCACTCGCTTGATTCCTCTTCACTCCCTTCCCTCATGTGCTCTCACTCGTCTCCTCTCTTTTTGATTGACTCTACGATCCCTCCGCTGCTCTCCTCTGTCCTCGCCCTTCGTCCTCTCCTCTCTACGTTTTCCCAGACCCGCATTCCCGGCACTGTCATTCCTCTGTGTTCAGCTCAGTGTGAGAGGGTATTCAACACCACACGCATTCCTGGAGAGGAGACCGGTAAAGAGACACACACACACGGTGCTGATATACGATGCGCAATATTGTCTGGGCAGGTAGCTCCAGCAAGTGAGCAGTGCTTCAGAGATGACGAGGCACACGGAAGGTGTCTGAGCCCTCTGGAGTTGAAGCGTGGGAGAGAGAACTGTGTGAAAGACGGTGTGTGTGTGTGTGTGTGAGTTTGCCGTGATTCACTGAGTCATCGTATGTCTGCTGTACAGGCCATCCTGTCGCCTCTCATCTGTCTCCACTTGCCTTCTGGTCTCATCGCAGTTTCTGGAAATGTTCTGTCTCTTAACTAATGTCTATTTTCTTCTGCCCACACATTTTGTTTTCTCATCTTTTTCTTCCCTCTCTTCCCTGGTTCTCGTTCCATTTCCTCCACACACCTGTGTGTTTTCCTATCTTTTTCCTTTCCCTCTTTCTCTCCCTTCCTTTCTTTTTTGTACTGGCCCCTCCCTCTTTATCGTGCTCAGTGGATGTTAAGGTCTGCAGTTCCTTGCTGCTCCTATCAATTTGAGCGGATGTTTGACACTTGTCGAATCCCTGGAACACTAACAGGTAGTATTTATATTTTTACACAACTGGCCCAATCCTAGTTTTAGATCTATAAATAAACCAATATGATAACATATGTGTGCATAACATGTTTTTCTGTGTATGATTAAGAATGTCAAATGACGATCCCTGTCTCACATATAGTAAATGTTCCCTGTCCATTATGTTAATGAGCCAACATCTTAAAAGTCATCCATCAATCATTTCAAATTAGGAACCACGACGTAAAGAAACAGATGCAGCCGTTGTGTCCTTTAGTCCCGACTAAAAATGTATGAATCGTGACATGAATGTGACAGGAACCCATGCCAGTAGGACAGACAGAGTAAACACAAGCAAAAGGCACACACACACATTAAGCGCATCATCTCTGATGCTTTTGTGTTTCTATGACAGGCCTTTGACTCAATTAACAAAATATGTATTTTTGTTTTCTTAAATGCGCGAAGACACTGTGCAGCATTGGCAGGACAGTGACTACTTAGCGGTATACCACAGGGGTCGCTACTTCCGTCTCAGGATGTACCATGCAGGCAGACTCCTGTCGCCCAGGGAGATTGAATCCCAAATTCAGAAGATCCTGGATGACCCGTCACCTCCCTCCAAAGGAGAGGCCAAACTGGGGGCCCTGACCGCTGGAGACAGGTCAGTGTGACAAGCCGCCCGGCGGTAAAATCACATGGACAACACAGTGCACTGTATCCTTGATGCAATGTCATAATCTACCTCTGAAATGTTTCCCAGAATTCCATGGGCTAAAGCCAGGGTGAAGTATTTCAGCAGTGGGGTCAATAAACGGTCTCTGGACTACATCGAGAAAGCCGCCTTCTTTGTGAGCCTGGATGATGAGGAGCAGGGCGGGATGGCAGATGACCCGACTAGCTTAGATTCATACGCCAAATCCCTGTTGCACGGGAAATGTTACGACAGGTAATCTTACCCTTTACTGATCACTGCCTTGTGAAAGTCACCTAGTTTCTAATTTTGTGTTTTTCAATCCTTATCTTGGTCGTCATGCAGGTGGTTTGACAAGTCCTTCACCGTTGTCTACTTCAAGAATGGAAAGATGGGCTTAAATGGAGAGCACTCCTGGGCTGATGCACCAGTGTTATCACACGCCTGGCAGGTAAGGAACATGCAGGAAAAGTAAGTTCCACGTTGTTGTCGCTTGGTTCTTAGAGGCAATCACTTATAACTGTTGTGTGCTTCCAGTACGTCTTGTCCATGGACTGTTTCCAGCTCGGTTACAATGCAGAGGGTCACTGCAAGGGAGAAGTGGATTCATCACTACCCGGGCCACAGAAGCTGAACTGGGAAATCCCTCCAGAAGTTAGTTATCCATCCACACCTTGCCCGTAACTCCATAATTAATCTGTACAGATGTGTGCAGCGGCTCTGTGCAGGCACGCGTCTCGACTGCGTCTCACGGGCGTAGCTGGTCTTGAAGCTTTTATTTTGGCCGCCGCTTTAGAGTGGTGAGCGAGGAGTCAGCAGTCCATCAATCAACGGGCAATAAAAGGTGTTTTGAGAAAGTGTGAGTCACTGCAACCACAAGAGGTCCTTCAGCATGCAGCAGTAACTGGCCACCCAAAATATTACGCAGTTTGTGTAGCAGTATGCGAAATAAGTGTGCACACACACTCAGGCACACACTTACTCACTCACATTTTGAAAATGATCAGTTGGATTGAAAAGACGAGCGCCTTGCAAACTGATAGATATATTTCATGTAAATAGTGATGTAAAAAGCGGTGATAAAAGCTGACTCATTATTTGTAACACTGTGGAAGCATTGCTCCTTCTTTTGAAACCACAGCACAACGGTTATAGGTATCTCAGTTGTGTTGATTTGAGCTGTTTGGATGTGTCCGTCTCAGTGTGAGGAGCAGATCTCCGGGTCTCTGGCAGTGGCCCAGGCCCTGGCTGACGATGTGGACGTCCACGTTTTCGCCTTTGAAGAATTTGGCAAAGGAAAGATCAAAAGGTGTCGAGTCAGCCCAGATGCCTTCATACAGCTGGCTCTTCAGTTGGCCCACTACAGGGTAAGCCTCCCTCTGAAGTAGTGTGTGTCGGACACTGCATTCAATTTGGACATTTGGTGTCAATATTATCTGTTACATGTGAGTTTTGTGTTTGCATTCCAGGACCAGGGGAGATTCTGTTTGACGTACGAATCCTCCATGACCCGTCTGTTCAAGGAGGGCAGGACCGAGACGGTTCGCTCCTGTACCAATGAGAGCAGTGCCTTCGTCCGAGCGCTGGAAGGTGGAGAGGTGAGACCATGGATGATGTCTCTTGACTTCCATCCTTTTTTGGCGGAGTAACTCAAAAGCGGACATTTAAAGGTTCTCTGAGGAAACTAAATCTGCATTGCAAATGACTCTGTCTAATTGTTATTTTCATCGCATAAATCATACAGTGTCTGTTATTGATATGCCAAGCAGTCATGCCTGCTCATGCCCTTCTCCACCAGGCAGCAGATGTGTGCAGGCGTTTGTTCCAGGAAGCATCAGAAAAGCACCAGCATCTATACCGCATGGCTATGACTGGAGCTGGCATCGACAGACACCTCTTCTGTCTCTACGTGGTATCTAAATACCTCAGAGTGGAGTCTCCTTTCTTGAAAGAGGTTAATTTCTTTTCTTTGTCATTTTTATATTTTTCAGTTTGAGTATTTATCTCTTTAGTAGACACAGATTAGCAGCGACTTCAGCAAACTGATGCAGTGGCTTCTTGTGGGTATTTCAGGTGCTATCTGAGCCCTGGCGGCTGTCCACGAGTCAGACTCCAATGCACGTGGAGATGTTTGACATGGTCAACTACCCAGAGTACGTCTCCTGTGGAGGGGGCTTTGGACCGGTCAGTGCTTCACTCACTAAAATCATTTAGCTGTTTAAGTAACTTAACTAGAAACCAGAAACAAAGATTTTGCCATCGTAGCATTCATTAGCAGCAGTCATTTTACTAGTTTTGTTTTGTTGTTTTTCTTTTTTGAAAGCGGCTCAGGTTTGTGATATTCATTCAGCAGCCGTGAGTATAATAAATATTGTCTTTATCTCTTTCAGGTGGCTGATGACGGTTATGGGGTGTGCTACTGCGCTTTGGGAGAGAACATGTTAAACTTCCACATCACATGCAAGCACTCATGTCCAGACACTGTGAGTTCAATGAAAGTAGCAATAGTATGCTGCACAGGACAAGTGGAAACATACAAGTGGAACACATACAAGTGGAACACATACAGATATCAATACTGGAGATTTTAAAATATTAATGACACATTTATGTTTTGAGCAGAGCTTTTTTTGAACCCCGGAGTTGTGAAGTAATTCAGACTTAAAGTTTATCTGTCTCATCAAATGACGTAAAAACTTTTTTGGATGAATTTATGTCAAAATGCTAATTCCTTTTTATCCCCCAGACACATTAATCTCCTTGTTCTTTATTCCATGTCTCCCCTCCAGGGTGCCAATAAATTTGGTGCTCAGATTAGAAAAGCTCTGCGCGACCTGCTACAGCTGCTGTGCCCCAACCAAACCCAGGTCGGGAAGACAGAAGTGATGCGGCCAGAAGTCAAGAAAGACCTGTAGGCGCTTACTCGGGGCTAAGAGACGCTGAAGGGAAGCATAAATGTTACACGATGAATTGAGGACAGACAGTTTTGTTTTCCCTCATGCATTGGGAGATTTCTTTTTTTAGCCAGCCAGATGAAGGGAAAACTAAAAAAATGGAGGTGATGTTTTAACCGATATGTATCTGAATTTGTGTGTGTGTGTGTATTACCTGTGTGATAGGTGTGTGAGAAGGAAAGAGGTGGGATTCAAGTACACTGCTTCTTATTGGTTTAGCTTTAACAGACAAACCATTGGTACGTTTTTATCAAGACATATTATAGATTATTATTAAAAGGCCAGTATGAATTGCACCACTCAAAGTTAGGGAAGAAATTCCTAATACTCTACTTTATTACAGGGATTAATTTGATATACATTCAAGTGCAGTACGTTCTGACACCATTAAATGTGCCACACGTTTTGTGCCACTGATTTTCTGTTGTTGAATTTGTTTGGAAAATGTTTTTGGGAGCGCGTGACGCATCTTGAGTCTTGGCACATTAGCGCAGAGAGAAAACACGGAGGGCTGTTGAGGTGATTTCATTTTCTTCCATCTGAATGCAACATCGCTGTGACAGTGACCCCACACATTTTGAACTGTTGGAAGTCTGGGACTTCTTATTGTTTACTCGTTATGTATAAATCTGCTTTCTACAAAAACACATGATTGTAATACTGTGCTGAGAGTGCTGTTTATACATGTAGTGAAATGACATGGCTCTTAAAATTCATAGGTTGGCATTACTGTTTGACTAGTGTTATATTCAGGGCCAGCTCACCCAGGAAATACCTTTATGTTTTCAAACATATTCAAAATGTACATACAAATAATGTAGCTCAATTGTCCTTTCAGTGGTCAGTATTTCAAACTTACCGAGTTGAAGCTGTGCTGTAATGAACTCCAGATATTTCACTGCCATCTACACATCTGTTTTGTAATTATTTTCATCACTGTATTATTAAACAAGCACCATAACAATGCAAGCTATATTCGTGAATACCATATGCAGGTGTTTGTTTAGTCTTGAGCAGAGCTGCCGGTCACATGTGGATTACATGTGGAGTGAAGCCGTCTGATTCAAAGAAAGTTGTGTACCAGTGACACGGGTTCCTCAGTTATTCTTCATCGATTACTGCCTCTTCTTTTTCAGTTGAGCTTGTGTCGTAGTATTACTATCAGCCTTTGTAATGCAATATCACAGCAGAAAATAAAGGACTTCTTAAAGAAAAAAGCTAAAAGTGTCTCTTTCTGTTGAGGAGAAGAGTACTCCACTGATTTAGCATAGCACTCCCATAACATAGTTGGACTCATAATGGACTGTTTAAAAAAAATTAAAAAAGAGATTTGAACCAGCAATATCTCTTTTTTTCTGCTTCCTTGTCAAAACCAGGTGCCTACATTACCCAAAATGCAGCTATTCTATGTACATCAATTTCACTTTTTAGATTTGACGCAGCTCCCTCTAGAGCAGAGGTCTTCAACAGGGGGAGGTACTGCAAGGGGTCCGCGAAATGTTTGGTTGATTAGACAATTTAAAAATAAATAATATATATATATATATATATATGTTTTCTTTAGTGTATAATCACTTAGCATATCGACTGGAAACTGGCTGACTATTTATTGGCCAGCAGCAGGGACTTTGCGGTGTATTCCTATGAATAAAACAAACCGGATATAACAATAAAGGTGCTGGTAGGTGGACTTTGTTACCTTTAGACAGAGCCAGACTAGCTGTCTCCAGTCTTTATGCTAAGCTAACGATCTATCTCTTGTCAATGTAAGTGAATAACAATAAGGTCATGCAGCTGAGCATCAAGAGGATGAGTGACATCACTATCTAAGTCAAATTAAAGCCATCTTACCACCCTGACAGACAAAAGGAAGTGTTGCTTCACTGAACCATTTCCCATCTAAAGATATATTGTCTACAATAAGATTACATTTTATAAATAAAGTCTAAATATCCTAATTCTTCTTCTTACCTGATCCACAGGTGTGTCTTTGTGAGAGACTTCTGCAGGATGTTACTCTTTCTTTCTATCGTGTGTGTTTTGGTTGTTCCCATGAGCTTTCATATTTGTCTATATGGAAATGCTGTTTGCTTTTGACTATTTCAGGGGCATATTTGCATTCCACAAAAAACAAGTGTAATTATGTAGTTAGAGCCACCGACATAAAGGTGTTGTGTATGACCTGCTCTTGTTTCCTTTTGTATCTCCAGATAGATAGATAGATAGATGGACGGACGGACGGACACAGGATCTCAATGTGTCCTGACAGAAATTGGCTTGCTTTTGCCTCCTTGTCTGTCTCGGTTTGTTTCCTGCCACCTGTCTTTCTGTGTCTTGTTTCAGCTGTGAGGTCAGCAACAAACCCTTCGCTCATCATCCTGCCCATCAGACTTCAGCATATGGTCACAAAAGCCGCCAATAATCCACATTCAGTCCCCTGTCCTTCTTTTCTAAATCTTGCCTCACACACTCACCCACATTTTATCACCTCTCAAGTCACCTCTCCGTCACCCCAGAGGACCCCCTTATATAAAGCCCCGTCTCCCCTCTACTTGTTACTCCCCTTGTTTTCATCATCAGTCAAACATCCTTCTCTTTCGCTGTTCAGGTAGGCCTACGTGCTTTGACTTTTCCTCTACACTCTCTCTGAGCCGGGGTGTTTCTTCTTGTACGGTGCTGTGATTATTTGAAATATGTGACCATCCAGAAGTCTTCCATCATTTGTATCTGGTACTGTAATCTGTATGTAGTCATACAAAAACTACATAGTTATACAAAAGCGTGCACACCATTGGGTTTGATTGCATTGTTTATGGACTGTGATCGTTTTGAACGACGTTGCTAGATGATTTTCAAGGCTGTTTAAAGTTGCTATAATCAATGTTTTTCTATGATAGCAATGGATCATATGGCTATGATTAATGTGAAGAGGGTTTCTCACAGTAGTGAACCAGAGAGTTATCACCAAAGCAACAGTTCCTCTTTGAACTGCAGAGCTTTCAGCTTATTGTTGTCATTTTCTGGCTCGCACTTTTAATGTTTTGATTCACACCCACTGCTCTCACAGCAGAAGGCTACTTTCAGCAACTTAAAACCCACTGTAGGCTCTACCAGGCTAACAGATAGAAACCGATCAGCTTGTGAGCATAATGGAGCACTTAGCAGATGATGAATGATCCAAATGAATAATGTTACCCCGTGTCTGCTGGACGTGTCAACTTTGCCGTATTAACTTAAAAGGTGCTGATGTGTCACTGTGATCAAAGCTTGTTTCTGCTGCCTGTAAGTCTGCAAAAATACCCCAAAACATTTATTGCACTTTTTACATTTAAATACTGTAATAGCCAATAATAACTGATTAAATCAAAGCTGCTTTAAAATGTTTTAAATTGACAATGATTGATTAATGTCAGATTTGTTTAGTCTAAACGTGCTCAGACTTGTTTCATTACGTCAGAGACAATACATTCAGAATCTGCTTGTTTGAAGCTATATCATGTTGATATTGAGTGAAATATATAAATCAATGCAACTTGTGGATTTCCACTAGATTGCAGTTAAATTCAGTTGAGTGACAATAAAGGTCTATTATTTCTCTGAAATGACCAAAGACGTGAGAAGTTATTCTTGTTGCCCTTGGCGTCTCCGTCCGTCTGTGTTGGTCAGTTTGGTCAGAAACAATCAACAGTGAAGCATTGTGATGAATTCCTCTCCCAATCCCTCATCTGCCTTTTGTGCCGGTGTTTATTCAGATTCACATGCTCATGCCCTGATATCTTGGCTAAAAACTAACTGTGGCAGGATCTGAGAGACGAGGGCGGCCTCAGTGCTTGATCTGCCATGTTAATGCGCTCAAAGACAGGCAGTCTGGGAGGCCTTCCAGTTGTTCATTGAAAATAGTTTTTGGAAAAAATGGTCTGTGTGTCTACCAAGAAACCAACGGCTTCGACACTGTACTCTGTACGTTTATAATTCTGTATCTCCTGTACCAAGTCCCACTGAAATACATGTAAAAGAAGCTTAAATAATGGTCAGTAATGAGACAATGTTATGGGACTCCACACACATTTAAATATCCCCTGAGTTCAGTGAGACTGCAAACAGATCAAATGATAATAGAGGACTTGGCTGGTGTTAATAGCAGCCAGCCGACCAGCTTAATCTCCCCATCCCACATTCTCTCTTGCAGATTGCCTAGCTAATACCTCGCTCTTATCCTGGGTAACAGGACACTGCTGCGACCTAATAGTTCCTCTGACCACTTCTATTCCTAGATCATTAGCTACAAATGGCCTTCTGCTCTCTCTTATTCTTTGAACAAAAGCGCTGGCCTGCATTGATCAAGTAATGCTCATACATCATGAAATTTGTTCACTATTGAGAATGCAAACATATTCATTGAAGGTCCAGTAATTGCATTAAATTATCTCCATGCCAGGAATTCAGATGTATAATTAAGATAGTGAAATGTTAAATATACATCGGATTTTTGTCGAGACGATGTGGCCACAAGTGGTACCTGCAAAATAATAGCACAATGAATGTATTCTCATTTTCCAAACTTTTGTCCTGTCAATAGCTTGTTGATAGAAATGTGTCATTAGGCGACTGACTGAACTAAAAATGTTGTGAAACAGTGGCACGAATAGAGAAGACACACAAAGTCCAACAAAGTGATCCAAAAAAAACATTTACGCAGCAATATTTACATTTTGTAAAGTGGTCATAGCACACCAAATAAGGCTGCAGCAATAACATTCCTGTTTACTGAGTGGAGTAAGGCTGTGTTTTTCATCTGTAAGTGGAAGGTTGTGTTTTTATTCTTTCAAATTCAACATACTCCAGCTTTAAGAGGGCAAACACCAACCGATGCATCACAACTGTACTTGGTCTGTTTGCTGCTCGATGTAATATTTGACAAACCCATGTTGTTTTGTGACCATTTAAGACGTATTCTAATGGATTCAGCCAATGCATTCTCAGATCTACCTTTTGAAAAATCATGAACTAAATAATTTGACACCTTTCACACGTTGGGTATGTACTGTATATGCTGTTACACATCTGAAACAGTACTGATTTTTATATTGATGGTTTTCTGTCCAGTGTCACCATGTCTGAGTTTGAAGACCATGGGTAAGTCAATCCAATCCTTATAAACTTTTCTACATTCATAAAACATTTTTTTAAGGCCTGTCTGATGTATTCATTCAATTCTTGTTTATTTAGAGTCCATCAAGAGGGTAAGGACCTTCACTCATTCATTTAATAAAACCGCAGTTTCATCGTTTCTATCAGCTCAATCGCCTTGTCACTCTTTCTTTCTCCAGAAGAAGACGATGAGCAGGGGGAGGGAGGTGAGACTGTGTTGATTTTATCAACCTTGCCTTAGGAATAACACATTCAGGTGTACAAGCTGTAACAGCAACCTGTCAGTGAAAGATGAGAATCTTCAAAATGTAAATATGCATTTACATGTTGTAATCCATCCGGTGTTTGCATATTGTTCCAAGAGAGTTGAACTTCAATTCAAATTCAGGAAACTTTAAACCTTGAGTTCTCTCCAACGGGATAAAAGAAATGCTGTTCTTTCATAGAGCAGTTCACAAGCCTAGTACCATATGAACATTGGCCATAAACTGTGTTTTTTTTCTATGTTTAAAACCTAATTGTTTTCCCTATTGGAGTTAAACAGGAAATAATTTCCTGTGTTTGTTTATGAAAACAAAAAAAAACTGATTCCTTTTTTGTTGCTGTTCTGGCTGTCATGTTGAAGAAGACCGCCCCAAATACAAGTAAGATTGACGTGGCAATACTAAACATCAAAACATATTGTGGGATTTTACCGCAAAATGCAGTAAAAACACTCAAGATTGAATATGTTGATATGCCGTCATGTTATTTTACAGGCCGGTCACACAGCTCGCTGCCCCTAAAATCCCTGAGGGGGAGAGGGTTGACTTTGATGTATGTTCCTTCAAGGTTGTTGTTAATGGAACATTTACACGATTATAGCACCAAAAACAGGCATTCAATAATCTTGATCCGTGTATCCACTGGTCCCCGACAGGATATCCACAGGAAAAGGATGGAGAAAGACCTTCTGGAGCTGCAGACTCTGATTGATGTCCACTTTGAGCAGAGGAAGAAAGAGGAAGAGGAGCTGATTGGACTCAAAGACAGGATTGTAACCGTTTGTCCATTAGTTCCCCACGTATTTGCATGAGAGAGAGATTTGTCAGGATACACTGACTATTCAGAACAACAGTGATGAAACTTGAGCCATGTGTAAAAGTCAGGCGGACATGTTTTTTTCTGTAATAGGAGAACCGCCGGGCAGAAAGAGCTGAGCAGCAGCGTGTGAGGGCTGAAAAAGAGCGGGACAGACAGACACGGATTGCAGTAATTAACGTTTAACTTTGTATTACATGCGTTTTTAAAAAAATCCGCTCGGATCACAATATTTTGACCTGACTTCCTCAGGTGGAGAGACAGAGGAAAGAGGACGAAGAGGCCAAGAAGAGGGCAGAGGATGAGGCCAAGAAGAAGAAAGTGCTCTCCAACATGGGAGCTCACTTCGGAGGGTTCCTGGCCAAGGTCAGAATAACACATTTACAGGCAGGTGTGTCACTGTACAGTGTCAGACTTCATGTCTGTCCGATCCTCTAAGAAAGTGAGTTGCATTTCCTGCAGGCAGAGCAGAGGCGTGGCAAAAAGCAAACTGCGAGGGAAATCAAGAGGAAGACTCTGTCAGAGAGACGCAAGCCGCTGGCTATTGAGACCCTGAGAGAGGATGGCCTGAGGTCAGTTTAAGCTCCATTAAAGACTGATGCATCTAGAATTTTGTTTATGGTTGCGAAGAGATTTGGGTTAATTTTAAATAAACATCCATTACCTTTGAAAGCAGGTACATTGTTGTACGAATGCCTTCTCAACTTGTTGATGCTCGGTGTGTTTTAGAGAGAGAGCCAAGGAGATGTGGGAATGTATCTACCAGCTGGAGTCAGAGAAATTCGACCTGACTGAAAAGACGAAGAGGCAGAAGTATGAGGTGAGCCATCGAGCCGAGAATATACAAAACTGGTATTTTAAATATATATATAATTTGTGACGTAATTTGTGTGTTTTTTCTCAGATCAACGTCCTCCTGAACAGACTCCAACATGCTCAGAAATTGTGAGTCACTCTGCTCTACCTTCACACCCCAAAAAGTAGTGTATGGTATGATGCTACTTTGCATCGACTATGCAAACATACCACAGCCGGATGGCAACAGTCACAGTAACACAGGAAATAACAAACTCACAGCTCTTAACATTTGCCACTTCATTCACTGGATGCACAACATCTAAGACATGAAAGTAAAGTGATATCCATCTCCAATCAGTCACACTTGATGGTCATTTCTGTGCAGACTACAACTGTTCATAATATACTTTATATTTTTTTCTTGTCTCAATGCAGCAAAAAGGTCCACGGTAAGGGGAAGGTCGGAGGACGCTGGAAGTGAACTCTCAGAGGAGGCACGATGAAACAAGAAGACAGTTCAATAGATTCTGGACAAGATTAGAGATTTTACGTTTGGCATTTATTACAATACATCCACTTGCAATTGCATCTGTATTTATTAAAATGCACCAATACATAAAATGGATATTTTCTTGAATGTCTTTCAAATTGTAAATTAAATTGGATTATTATTCTTAAAAAAATCGAAATATGGAAAAGTTCACAGCTACTACAAAAATTAATGTTGCTCCTTATTCGCTGGTTAACTAAAATAAATTGTGTCTGCATAAGTTCTTGTGAAGTGAGGCAATATCACCTTGACTGTTGCATATATTGTGAAGGTAAAGCTGCTGACAATGGGAGCAGAATAAATGAAGCACCGTTACTTCCTCTGTGGTATGAAAACAGCATGGACGTCATCACTCTTCTCATCACGCCACGGCTCAAATTCAGCCTCCAGAGCGATGCTCGCCACTTTCTCTGCAAAGCCTGCTACTTGCTCTTTGCTCAGATCCAAAATGTACCTGTTTCACAAAAACACACAAATACAACTTAAACGCAACAGACGCATTACAGTCATCATTCACAGGACTTACAGATGGGACGGTGTAGCAAGCGCAAAGAAATGCAGAAAAAGCTCATGCACTTGTGGATAACAGAGCATAGTCACTGTACTCTTGGTGAATGTATTGCCACCATGGTAACAAACCATGTTACTATAAAAACCCTCACTTGGCCAACTCCACGACAAGCACAGCGTCTGGTGCTGCAATCTGTCTCATTGTCGGGCCCAACTGGTGCACGCGGCTTAGGAGCATGGACAGAAAACAAAAACACAGAAATGGAACACGGTGAGCGGTCACGTCAGTAGTCTGCGGTCAAGATGGCGAAGGGATCCTGTTTTAGATTCAGTTACTATATTTGTGTTTAAGAGAATATTGATTATGGATTCAGAAAGCTCTCACCTGGCAGAGAAGTAGATGGTGTTAAAGAAGTGGGAATATTTCTGTTTTTCGGGCAGTTTGTAAAGTGAGTCCGATGGCAGGAATGTCACAGAGATCCCATTCAGGTGCATCAAGTCTGAAGAGGATTTGAGGAAATTCAGCACAGGTTTTACTGTTTTCTGTGTGCTGAACATCAAAAGAGAATTCAGAGGGATGGGAAGTGATCTCCCATACACTGAAAAAACACATTTCCCCATTTACACTTCTTTCATGTTTTCAAACATGTGCATTAAAACACACTGAAACAAAAAATGTATGCAACATAATCAAATTTAATCTCTCACTTAAGTCTTAACGTTTTCACTGCGACTTAAACTGCTTTTGTTATCGCGCGAGCTATTCTTACCCGCACCGCACCGACAACCATCTCATGATGATGTGGCCTGCTAGCGTTAACAGCCATTTACCGTTAATGGTGACAGAGTTTCGGTACGCCTCGGGGGGTGGCTCCTCTGCCTTTACGTCCGAATGAGAGGTGGTGGGGCAGCCCCGCCTGCTGGACAGGGACTGGAACAATTCCTGAACGTTTGCAAAAGAGATATCCTGGGCAGTCTGTGGATGCGAGTGAAGGAAGGGACAGAAAGCATTAATATGTTCCTCAGGGTATTCACAACTCACTGCAGCTGTGCGATAAAAGGATGCGGAGACTTCACTATAATCCAACATGTAACCTGAGCCATTGCTACTGTATATTTGACCTTGATGTGTTGCCCATTCTGTGTCCTCAGCAGGCTCTTGTCAGCAGTTTCAATGCCAAAGGAGAGATAAGGACTGGAAACTATGTCACCCCAGTAGCCCCTGTAAGACACTTTCCCCCCGTTCTGTCCAGATACACACACAGTTCCGTCATGTTATCTTATTGCCGCATTGTGGAGAAACATCGTGCAGAAAAACAGACAAACAATTACCTGACTGAACACTCTTGAAGAGAGCAAACTTGGATTGGTTCTTTGGTAGACACCTTCCCTCATTTCAAACGCCAAACCCCGCTCCCTCCATTGTGCATACTGTTGTTTGTTGATGACACCACACTGCAGAAACAGAAAGAATGTGCATCCTTCAGTGGAACATTTAAGCTTCCAAGTGTCTAACCTTCTAAAACAAAACAAAGAATATTAAAATACCCCTTTCTCATGCAGTTTCATTGCGAGGTCCCAGTCGAAGCAGCTCTTCTTGGAGTCGTAGCGTGTTCCAAGGTGCTGCCTGACCCGATAATCCCAGGCTGTGGACATTAAGACAGGGGCAGCGCACTCTGATGAGGATGACGAAGGCCGAGGCTGGGTCCACAACTTGAATATCCTGGCCAGCTCGTCTCGCTCCTTGAACTGAATTATTATTCAAAGAACGAGAAAGTCTAGTCTAATATCATTCATAAGGTTAAAGAAACACAGAGGAAAGGCTTCGTTTTACAAATGATTGTACCTTGAGAAGAGTTGTGTTCAGAGAGGTGTGTGTGGCTGTCTCCAGTGTTTCAGTAACAGACAGAGTGAGCTGTGATGCTGCACGTCTTAGTGTCTCTTCTGTCTGACTGCGGATCTCACCGTTCCCAAACACCTCCAAGAAAACCTCCGTCTTCTCTGAAAACAGAAATTGCGGCAAAACCACTTCATATTGACAGCCCATTTATCTGTATTCATATTCTTTACTCTATAAAGTCAATACTTCAACACAATCCCACCCACCATTATTTCCCATGATTTCCTTCGGCACCAGTGCCAGGTAGAGGAGCAGCAGCTGCCTAGCCACCACCTCCATGCTGTCTTCTATCACCCACACCTGCAGTAGAGCAGAGAGGAGTGTGCAGCTCACAGTAGAGGATATTAATTTGATATTCATTTGTTAAACGTGACAGTTTAAGAGACTGAGAGGCTCACATGAAGGCTTTCCTGGTTCTTCAATCCAGAAATGGTCTTCAAAATATGTCGTGGATCTCCACTGCCAACCAGTAAAACATTGAAGTCCTCTTCAAGTCTCACAGGGCCTGAGTACAGGAAGACAGGAAGACAGAGAGACTTGCATGTTGTAGTACTACAATAAAATACTGCAATACAAAATTGCGCTTATGTTACTACATAAGTAACAAAATGTACTTTTAGTGCTAAAAAATGTTCATTATGTAAAATGGCCCCGGGGTGTTTAATTATTATATTGGATCATTAATATCAACGCACTAACATGTAAGCAGCACTTGGATTTTAGTTGATCTGATGCACGTGTGTAGGCGGACCACGCATGCACGTGCACCTTGAGGCTCTCACCCGTACTCAGCAGGTCGCGCGCAGGACTGAAGCCCCACCAGGTGATGCAGCCAGCGCCCTCAGAGGCCCGTCCAGCACTCATCCTGTGACGTGAAACAGTGTTAGCTTAGCTTAGCACGACCGTTAACTAACGCTAGCAAACAGTAACGTTACTCAAAAGGACAATTAGTGTTAGCTATCAATTAAGCGCAGACCCGCCTCACCTCAATGTGGTAATAAATGGCCGTACGCTGCGACCAGATACTGTGCGCTGAAACAAAACCCACCTCACAGTCTGACTCCTGAGTAAAGTTGCAGCTAACCCAGTTTACCGTCTGAACAGAAAGTTTGAGATCTGTTGCCAAGCAACATTTTCTAAATGTGTAGCCCTCTACTGGTGGTGATGTGCCCGGGTTTGATAGTAGAAGATGTACACTCCTGTCTTTTTAGATTTTAGACCAACAGATTATTATGAAACGTTGTTGGATAATTGTATTATCCATAATACTCCTTTCTATCTAATATTATGGGAGTAAGATAAGCATTGATGTGAAATAGGACTCTGTTGCACCACATCACTACAAAAAGGATAAAAAGGCCCAGTGTGCATGCCATGAGATGCAGAAGCTCTACCGTGTCTCCAGCGTAACTTTAGAACACAGAGTAACCCTGAAATGTTATGTTATGTTTATTTTATTTGATATGGACATCACAGTAGCATTAGAATTGTAACATACATTTATGCACAAGGACCAGATGCACTGTTTAGTGTTTGTAGCGAAACGCTAATTTACAACACCTGTCCACTCATTTACAACACCTGTCCAAATCATTCCTTTATGCATCCACATTTTAGTAGGCCCATGCATGAGCGTACACAAAGGATTTACAGATACGTGTTTTACAATCATACAAATATAAAGTCATGTATAAGGTAAATAGGGGAAGCTGAGTAACAACCACATTTTGTCTGTACATCACACACACACCCACACACCACACGCACCACACACACACATTAAAGTATCTTACAAGAAACAAAATGGAAAACAGGACATGTGACTTGACAACACATCAGGACTATTAGAATAAGTAAAATATATATAAATTGGCAGTATTTGATATCCAAACAAGGTCCGACTCTAACGAGGTTTTGCTTTGACTGCCGCGTCGACTTCTTCTTCTGGCAGCAGAGTGTGCCACTGGGCTACTGGACGTCTGGGATTGGCTAACATATCTGACCAGTGGCGCAGGCCAACTCCTGTAGCTCCATAACCCATGAAGGTCTTTCCAATGGGGTCATTGCTCCCAAGTTTATCGTAGTCAAGCACTGTGATGACGACCTGCACTTTCTGAAAGACAAAAAAGAAAGACGTGATGTCAAATCAATCCCCACATCAACACTAAGAGCCTGCTCAAATTCAAATAGACAATTGATATGAAGACGCAGCCTACCTGTATCTGCTCGAAGGGGACTTCAAAACTGAAACTCTCATTAAAGTAAGGATTGAGCGTGTTTTTCTTAACGGTCGTCTTTTTCTTCTTAATCCGTTTCCCATTTTGCTGCAGAATAATCTTCACATACGGATCTTATAAAGGAGGAAATGAAGGTGATATAGTTAGGTTTTATTGGGCTATTTTATTTCCTCCGAGGACTGAAGTTTGTAGTAGCCCAGTTTTACGAAGAATTTAGCTGAATGATTCTGAATGATAATAATGACAGGAGGCCTAATTACCTGATAAACCACCAACATCCATTTTCTTCAGATTCTTTGCCTCCATGATGTTCACCGTCAGTTTTCCAGCAGTGGGTACATATCGTAAAGAAATGCAGACATCGCCCAGTCTTTCTTGCTGAAAGGAAAGTATTATGGATCACCATCAAGTCCCATCAAATTAAAATGAAGACATCTTTTATTAAACTGCTGATTATTATGATTATTAATTTTGAGAAGCAAGGCAAAGAGTGTATTATTTAGTAAATATAAATACGCACAACATGATAATACAATATATCATACCTCCTCCTTTTCACCACTCTCCACGTCTCTCCATTGTTGCATTGGCTGGCCCAAGTCAACGCTGTTCATGGGAATCTTTATCTCGCCGATCATATCATGTTTGGAGAAACGGTCAAAGTCAAAAACTTGCAGCACCAAAGTCTTTCCGCCCAACTCTGCATATGGGACCTAGAAAGAAAGGTTGTCACAGCATTAGAATCTACAATTTTGTTTATGTGTTATCAAATTCTCAAATGCAGACAACTACAAGGAACATATAGCGACAGGAGACGATTAAAAACATTCTGCTTTGATATTTTAGGGGGAGGGATACCTTGACAGACGCCATTCAGGGATTGAAAGATTAAAGACGAGGGGAAGTAGAGACATAGGCCAAACTTCTGTCTCACGGGGGGGTAAAAAGTGACATGTCATCAACAACCTGGAACACCAACACAAGCTGCGACAGAGACATAAAGACGAGAGAAAAAGCAAACAAAACACAGACAACATCAAGTCGACGAACGCACGATGTCAGGCACATGGTACCTTAAAGATGAAAGTCTCGTTGAAAACAGGACACAAATTCTTGCGTTGTACTTTGGTCTCATACTTCTTCTTTTTGTCTGGCAAAAAAAAGACTTTGACATAGGGGTCTGAGGTTCCCCCCATGTCCATAGCAGCAAGGTCTTGAGCCTGAAGAATACCCACTATGAGCTTAAGAGGAAAGACAACAGGTGTCAGAATGATCAGTGGTCATGACAAAAGTGTATAAATTCCTTCCTGGTAGATATTTGTAGAGTCCCTATATTCTAATCATTAATATGAATACCTTTGATGCCACTGATAATGATTCTGTTTTCACACAGGACCTACCTGGGTATCTGTGAAGTTGTAGTCCAATGAGAACTCCAGCCTTCCCAACTTTTCCTGTTCTTTCTCCTGTTCCTCTCCTTCCTTCTTCACCTCTCCCTCCTGCCAGATTAAGACAGAAGTGCATTGGATATTCATCATGCAGATCCAGATCAGGTAAGATTATACAATCATGTGTTACTGGACATAACGTATACCTTCTCCCCAGCCTCTCCTTCACCTTCCTTTTCCTTTTTGCGGCGACCTGTCTTCCTCTCCCTCACTTTCTTTGGCTTTTTCTTTTTCCCGAAGCATTTCTTGAAAAGGCAGAAGAGGAAGCATGCCACCAAAACCAGGACCACCACAACAATGGCTGCTACGGCCCACATGGGAACTGCAAAATAATAAGAAGGTGAATTCACTCATAAGTAGTATGCAAAATGGGAATATGCTTATTATGGCAGAAATGAGTGGATGTCGGACCCCCTGATATATATCTGATATATGTTCGCAATAGTGATGTGGAAAAATCCAGACCCCCAAAAAACAACAACAAAACAACAATAAAAAACACAAAAATCATGAATCTGAAACAGATTTTTAAGTAAACTTTTAAACACCTTCTCGATTGAAGGCTTTGTAAAAAAATCGTACGCATCAGGATTTTCAAGAGGATTTATATTTTACACATCTTGAGATTACATCAAAGAAAAATACACATTCATAAATCGGTTTGCTGCTACTAGTTCCAACAATATTGTTGAACATAAACTCCTTTTCAAAAGCTTGAAAGCACAACTGAGAGCGTCATTTTCAAGCACTTGTTTTCTGGAGACGGTTTGATGAGCATGCATGTGTGTCGTCAGCAACACCCTTCTCCACAATCAGATAATAACACACTCTAAGCTGGGAGCTGCCCTGTACAACCACAGTCCCCAGCAGCACAGCTCACCAGTAGGTGCCTTACTCATAGCACCGCAGCAGTAGTTTTTCCACTTAGATTGTCATGGGTATGAACGTCACAAATAGCTGGTATGATGACCAAGAAAACAAGCTCATGGTCCGATAAATCATAAGTCAAAAAAACTCAAACAATACCTTGAACCTTTAAAAAAAAGACACTGGTCAATACAATATGTATTATGTATCATAATATCGATGCTGTACTGGGGTGGATTTTCTCTATGAAATGATAACCTAAGATGATGTAAAATACAGGCTACAGCTTATTTCATGAAGTAAATTACGTTCTGAACTTCTAGAAGTGGCTTACTTGGCAGATGACCAAGCTCAGTCATGAACTTCTCCTTCATGTGGTTGTAGTCGTGGCCGGGGTGATGTTCTGTATGCGAGTGCTCATGGTGTTCAGTATGAGAGTGCTCATGGTGTTCAGTAGGGGAGTGCTCATGGTGACCCGGCTCTGTTGCTTCCTCCTGCTCTGGTTCAGACGGCTCCGCAGCCCTCCGGGCCCGGATCCCTGCGCTGTCCAGCCTCATGGCAGCTGTCAAAACGGTAGAATCAGAGCAGTTATTGTTGGTTTGTTAGATTCTCTGTCATATTGGCTCCTGCACTGAGAGATAACACAACTGTGTATGCGCGCTATGTAATCCCTATGTCCATGCGTTGCTGTACAGTTCAAGAGCATAGGACATCTTTAAGCCAGATGCTCAACATGGTTGACCCAAATCCCTCTGTTACTCTCATTCTCTCTGTCATCTCTCCTGCTTTCACTCCCACGTTTGTCCCATCCCTATTTTTCTCTCATCACTGTCTATGCATGTAACTGGATTAATCTGTGGCCCTACAGTATTAGTCCAAAATCCCTCCTCAAAGCTTAAATGAATAAATAAACAGGAGTTGGTCTCCTCCCCTGAAGAGTTTTCTGAAAGGTATTTTTCAAGAGAAGTCCAGTGGAGTAAGGAAAAAAATTGCAGGTATTTCTAGTTTTCAAGAATATTTATCCTTTTTAAAGTAATTTAAATAATAATAAAAACAATCATGTTATATATAATATTACATTTTTAAATTATATATATATATCATTTTAGGACTATAATGTACATAGAAAGTAACATATTTGTTGGAATCACAGAACTTTCTCAAATTACTGACCGAGATGAAAACACTAATGACATCTATTCACATTTATAGGGATCTCTTATCAGCCGTTTATTGGGTGTGATGGTTTATTTCAGATTCATAGGACACTATAGGAAAATCATTCACATAAAAACAACAACAAAGAGGAGCGCTACATATTTAGGTGGGTATGTTCAAATCTAAACGCGATTTTATCATTAAAAAAACAACAACAAAATTATAGCTTATTCTAACCAGCTCAAATTTGTTGAAATGTAGTGCTCTTAATCAAAACAGAAATGTTTGAAATCCTATGCATATTCATCTCACCTGTTGATATGTCCCTTTGATTCCCTCTATGCCGACAGAGCTTTTGAAGCAACTTTTGGTTCGAAGTGTATTTCTTGTTGCTTCCCTTGTGGCCCTCACACACCCATCATCGTTCCCTCGGTATGCTGCGGACTCTGACTGGCAGGCTCCCTGCAAACCCTTTCTATCAAAGCTGAAGCGCTGTCAAATCACTAGAGCAGCGTTGTGATTTAATCCCCCCCTCCCCTCCTCCCGATATTAGAATGCTGGCAACACATCTGTTGCTGTATGTCTCTGGACAAAAGATGCAAGAAGTGCGACAGTCACCTTTTCGTATATTACCACTCCACTGTTAAAAGATTTCACACATTTTAAGGCTTCTTCTTGTTGAGTAGGAAAAGAGAGCGATAAAACATGGCAGGGGTGGTTGTGTTTATCCATCGGATTGAAGAGATTGTAGTGCAGCCGACCCTACACTAATCCCCTCAGCAGAGCTGTCCTCGCAGTCTACCAACAACTTTCAGTGAGAGTGGATATTCCATCCTCCCCATCCCGTGGCTTACCATTTAACTGTACACAACACACACACACACACACACACACACACACACACACACACGTATTTAGAGCACTGTGAACAGTAATCCCCAGGCATGCTGCCACTTGTTTGCACTTCTACATCTGGAGATCCCAGTGGCTCCAATCCAACATGCAACAGCCTCCTCTAATAGATCACTAACTAAACTGCGCAGGGAAACAAAATGAAAGAAGAACACTTAACATGGCAACAAAAATGTAATTTGTCATTGTATTGTTACGTACTTGGTTGCATTATATTCCCGCTGGAGTCTGTAAGAAGAGTGTCTTATCAACACATGGATTTTGTCAGTGGGGTCAGCTAATTAACAGGAGCTTTTTTTCACTGTGAGGGCTCTCTTCTAGATTAAAGCATATTCAACACTACTACAGACCGTTTTAATTATTCCCTAATGATGTTTTTGTAAACACAGCTGCTCTCATTAAGTCATCATGTTCTCTCTTTGATTATGTGGGAAGGCAGGTAACAGGCAGCCTACCATTAGCACCCAGGCAACAGGGGGCAGAGTAGGTGGGAAGTTCACCTGGGCCTTTCTTCCTGAACTCAGACACACCTGAGAGGGCTGCTGAGGCCAGCCTTTGTTTGGTGACTGATTTGATTCATGTTTGGTGAGGGACCAAAGCTTGGAGTGATTGCCTATAGGCACATCAGCCAAGAAGAAAGATTTTAGTCACCTGCATGTCTTCAACTGGGGGAGGAGACAGTGTTCCAGTCTAGAAAGTTCTAAACAAAGACACGAGAGGAGCCAACCACCACCAGACTTATTTGATTTAGTGTGCCTTTTAACTAACCAATTGAATGGGCCATTTTCTGTTTTATTTTTCGTGTGGGGCTTTGTGCTGTGCTGCAAGGGGAACCAAGTGGCAGAGTAGGCGTCTTGCATGTGTATTTTATGGTGTGGTTCGAGTCACACGGGTTTTTAAACGGAAAGAGGTACATTTATTGCTCAACAACCGAAAACATGTTGCTGCAGGAACAGAGGAGAACGCGGACTGCGGCAGGCAGGTCCTAAATACCCGGTGGCCCTGGGAAACTGGCCAGGTGCTGCCAATTGTACTGATAGGCTCCGCCTACAAGGTACCTGCAAGACAACATAGACAAGCAACAAGGGAACGCCCACAGCAGGCCCTGCTTAAAGCAAGAGGCCGTCACACCTGAACTCAATTAACTTAATAACACGAGGACAGTCTGGCTGATGCTTTACTGAAGCCGTTAAACACCGGGTGTTTAAAAGCTGGCCAGCAAAGACGTGCAGAACATCGATAAGCTTACTTCACCAGGCGAGTGTCTGTCAGTCAAGATAACGTTAGCTGAGTGTGAAAGGAAAGGAAAGGTAAGAAATATGTATTTGTCTTCTGGAGTCTTAACTTCAACGTTATCTGTCTGAAGTTCAGTAATGGCTTTGTCTTAACTGGGATTGGTTTAGCGTCAACATTACTCTTCTACTAGTCACATTGATTACAATATCTTTTTGTCTTTTAGAAATGCAGTCTGTGATAAAACAAAACCTCCATTTGGAG